GACCGTTTCTCCACTACCAGGTCCATTGCAAATGAATGGTTTGCAGAACACGGAAGACCTATTGGCATGCGAAGTGTTTACCAACGAATGAGAAGTTTTGGCTTGTTTTCATACCGGCCACACTGGGTCCTCCCTTTAACTCGAGAACACCGACGTAATCGCCTTGAGTGGTGCAGACAACGGTCACTCTGGGATCAGGAATGGAACAGTATTGTCTTTAGTGACGAGTCTCGATTTTGTTTAGGCATGCACGATGGTCGTGCCAGGGTTAGAAGGCGACATGGTGAAAGGAGGAATCCACAGTTTTTTGTTGAAAGACATGTTCATCACACTGTTGGAGTTATGGTTTGGGGTGCTATAGCTTATGGTTCCAGGTCACCTTTAATCTTCATCAGAGGTAACATGAACGTGCAGCGTTATATCCACGAAGTTGTAGAACCCCATCTTTTACCCTATCTTGACACCCTGGCAGATCCAACTTTCCAACAAGATAATGCCCGACCACATGTTGCAAGAGTCACAATAGACTTCTTTCAACATAATGATGTCACATTCTTACCATGGCCACCAAGATCTCCCGACTTATCCCCAATTGAGCACGTGTGGGATATGATGGGTAGGCGATTGCTCAATTTGCAACGTCCTCCTCAGACTCTAGAAGCACTTCGAGAGGAGTTGGTGGTTGCCTGGAATGAGTTACCACAGGAGGACATTGACCACCTGATCAGAAGCATGCCTAGCCGTGTTGGAGAATGCGTAGCACATCAGGGTGCATCCACACATTATTAAAGGTCAAAGGGCTTTAAACCAGTGCAATCATTTTGAAATTTTTATGATTTACTTATTATGCTTCATTAAGTACTTGTACAAAATTTTATTAAAATAAAACCATTTAAACTGGGTGTTCGGATTTATATGTCACTTAGTATAATTATGTATAGTCATTCGCTGCACAGTACAAACCCAGTCTTTCAATATTCTTCTATTTTTTTTTTCAAAATTAAGTATTTTCATTTCGTTTGGTACTACATTATATAATTTAGCTGCTAAGAACTTAAATAATTATTCGAATAATGTTTTGTGTCGTCTTTGGATATTAGATGAGCCTACTCGATATCGTGTGTTATGCTCGTGTTTATAGGATTAGATTTTTCATTACAATACTTATGGTATAAGGTACTGGAATGTGATAAATAAAGTTGTCTTGTATCATGTATCCCTGTTTCCTGATATAAGTTGTTCGTCGGATATAATCTTGGCTTATGGAAAATGGCTTTCAAAATAGTTTTTTGTGCTATATTCAGGTCAGAAATATATGTATTGCAGGCGGCACCCCAGGCTGTGATGCCGTATATTATATGGGTTTCAACTACGGCATGGTACAGGATTCGCAGATAACTTTCTGTAAGAATGTTAGCAAGCATTTTGCCACCTTATATGTGAGTCCATAAATATTCCAAGATATTTCAAAGTGGTTAACTCTATCGATTTTGGTCTTTTGGTTATGATAATTAACGGAAATTTGTTCGAAGGTAGGTAAAAATTTTGGATAGGATGTAAATGCAATAAATTTTGTTTTTTTGTAGTTAACTGTTAAAATTTTAGTATCAAACCAGTCAATGATCCTTATAAAATCCTTTTCAGCTATTTGCTTCAGTATGCTCCAGTCATCAGCTTTATATAATATGAGGGTGTCGTCTGCAAGACATATAATCTTTCCAGAATTGTTAATTTTGAATAAGTCATTTAAGTAGAGACTAAATAATAGTGGGCCTAGTACTGTTCCTTGAGACACACCACACTTGATGTACATTTTTTACTGAAAGTGTTAGCGATTTTGACAGTCTGTGCCCGACTTGAAAGGTAATTTTTCAAAAGGATTTCCCCAATCTTTCCATAACTTTCAGAAGCTCGACATGGTTAACCGTATAAAAGGCATTTTTTAGATCAACAAAGATACCAATAGTAGGTATTTTTTTGTTGACATTAGAGTTAATTTCATCCATTGCAGTCAAAATTGCATCTGTAGTAGATTTTCCTTTTCTAAATCGATAGCACTGATAAGGGTCTATAATTTGATGTTTCCATTCTGTCACCGCTTTTATAAGCGGGATTAATAACTGTTGTTTTAAATGCGTCAGTACAAATTCCACATTGGAAACACCAATTAATGATGTAAGAAAGTGTTAGGCTAAGTCATAGGCTATTATTTTTAAATGCTCAGCTTTGATACCATCTACACCAGGACTTTTTTTGTTTTAAGTGATAGGACAGCTTCTTGTACTTCAATCGGACTAACGCTTTCTAAAAAGAATGAATTGGGAAGTTGGATTTTTGGGAACATGTCGTTCAAAGCATTTTTTTAATACTGGCTGCTAAATGGATCAGCACTATTAAAAAAGTCTGCAAATGCATTGACAGTACTGTAAGGATCGTTCAGTGAGACGTCATCCAACTTCATTTTATGAGGAATCCTAGTAGTACGATTTTTTGAATGTATGAAACTCCAAAAATGTTTATGATCTTGAATTTTTATAGGCCACAAATATTTGACGCTTTACCTCAGATCTATGACGTTTGTACGATGCCATTTGAGCGACACGAGAATGCTCAGGCTTTTATATACGCTGAACACTTATCAGACGTCAGAATAGCTGCTGAACTGCTGAGTCTTCAACAAACTGATGCTGCTTGAGGGACGCAAGAAACCTCACGTTTTCGATCAATGCTGAACTCGACGTCAGAATCGCTACAGAATACTTTGTCTCCAGAAAATACTGAAACCTCTTCAGAAAAGCAAGATCGTATTTATTTTTATACTATTAAACATCCCACAAAACGATGATATTCTGTGCGCACTAAATAAATGCAGGCAGTGAGCATTCGTGTTAATACATTTTTTCATGAATACCAAAAGGCGATGCAGCATATCATTGGAAAAGTTTCGTTAAATTTGACTGGGACTGGTTTTTCATAAGGATGGTTCCGCAGGGGTACACGTATCTTGAAAAGTGGCATTATGTTTTTTTACATTATATAGGTATTTTGTGACATCATGTAGGTTTTTCTACAAGATGTTAACTTAGAAATAGTTGTTGTCCACTTGAAGTGCAGTCGTTCTGTAGCTGTACGTGTTGCCTAAACGTCGTGACTCTTCAGCTATCAATGTTTAACTCCGATGGCATGTAACATCTGCTTCAGAAATAACATTATTGGAGGTATAAGCTATAAGTTGTATACTATAGCTGGAAGGAAACGGCAGTACATAGGTGCATATTAAGGATTTGTGTTAATGATAATTTCAAAAATGAGAGAGATAAAAAAGAAAATCCCTCGTTGGTTATGTATATTAAAATTAACAGGTGAGAAAATATGCTACAGACAGAAATTTTTATGAAACGTGGAAAAGTTTTTAAATTTCACATTATTTTCTATTTTCAGTTATTTGAATTTTATAGAAACTTGTTTTGCGATGTCAAGTAGAAAAAAAAATCAGCGCTTAGATGTAAAGCATTGCGAAATTGTTTTGTGTGTGTTGCGTCATTCGTAATTTTTCTGTGATGTGGCTTAATCACATACAACGTGGTGATTTCCCGTAATGCTTCTCAAAGTTTTTGAAAACACAAGAAACAGGGAAAAATCCTAATTCATATAACTTTGAATATAACTCCTTTTGAGTAAAGTCAACACAAATAACCCGTCTGGTACAGCTAATAGGGATACATATTCAGTAATAATTTTCTCACATGGCAAATATCACTAATTTTATACACATGCAGACCAATACACACAATCAGCCAGGTGCGATCTTGCTACTCAACCAATTTTCTATGTCACATTATCTAAGTGATATATTCTACAGACTATCTCGGCATTCTGCAACCAACAAAGCATGCTGGGGACCTGACTTGCAGTATAGTCATTGAGCGTGTCGTTGAGTCATTTCCCATGAGGCTATTGCTGACGCTCACAGCGCTCATAGCGAGCAAACACGGAATAACCTATTTGCATACTAGGAACTATTTAGTCAGCAAGTTGACATTTTGTCGTTTTTTTTTGTCTGGCAAAGTGGAGTAGCTTGGTGCCCTTAATTTCGAATTTGGCCATTATGGTAAAGCTCCGCAAAAATTGGTCGGTCTCAGCGAAAAACTGACATTAGAACCGTGATCTGTGCACCTGATTAAGCCACCGTTCGGGTTTTGGTTGAAATTGTAGATATGCAATATTTCGACAATTGTATGCGCTATAATTTTGAAGTTTCTTCAATGCATTCAACTATGGAACTTTGCTTGATAAGCTAATTACATTTACCTTCACAGACGATGCAATTTGTTATCTGCTAAGACTTGCAATCTAAAACTTACGTAATACATAGTGGAGTAAGTGAGGAGTCCAGCCTGGTCACTGACTATTGTTAGTACTTATTAGTGACCTCTGTGACACAGTAAATGACAACAGCTATACCTTGCTTCAATACACCAGTATTGAAAATTTATTCACGGATTAGTAATCATAAGGACTGTATTGGACAAAAGTGGCGTACGGTTTCATCAGGATAATGCTCCCGGCCATATTCTCCTGTATTGCAATATAGTTAATCTCTACGAAACAGACTTTGAATTGGCAGATTACCCAACCATATTCGCCATACCTGGCCTCTTGGGGCAGTATAATTATGTTATTGTTTCCAAAATTAAAAGAACATTTGCGAGGCAAAGAATGTCTAAGTAATCGACAGGTGGTTTTGAAATACTGCATCACAAAATCTTGGAGCTTCGATTGAAATGTGCATTAATGGCTAATAGGGATTAAGTATAAAAATAAATAATATCAAATAATTAGCATTACTGCAAGGGGAGTCAGGAGTGGAACATAGGGATTAACCGATCAACCCTCGTAAGTAGCACAGGCATGTGGCACAGGTGACAGATCTCCCTGTGACATCTGCAGCGTGTGCGCATCAAGTCCGACTTGCGTCAGTTGTCATTATTGTCAATAACTTTTGAATTTGTTTTGATTAACTAACCGTTAGAGAAGTTTGAATCTAATAAACATCGCAAAAGCTTTGTATGTTTTTGCCTGTTTTGCTTTTATTTGATTTCTGAGAAACATTAATTGAAGTAACATATAACGGAATCTACGTATTGTATACAGTAAATATTAATGTGTCTAAAGTATTCTGCAAAATTCAAGCTGCTTTAGGTTAGTATGGAAGAAACAGAATTGGAAATAAAAGCCAGGCGAGCCTCTGTAAGTAACAGTTTGTTAACTGATCCAACTTTCTGTCTACCAAACTTCTAAGTTTTTATTGTTCTCAATGTTAAAACTGTACATTATATTGCTATTTAACACTCTCAAAAGTCAAAAACGTGAATTTTGAATACTATTGCATGAAAAGCTCAGATTCAACCTTGTTGAGACATTTTCAGTAATCGATTAATTTACAATTTCTTAATTTTTCCAGATACTAAAAATGAAATCAAAATCTCCTGGAGGGCCCAGTCTTGACATAACGTTAGCTACTAAAAGAAGGGTCAGCTTCTCCAGCAGAAATCGTGTAAAGTATGTAAATTCTAAGACATATTTGCAGTAAATTTCACCATGTTGACTTTACAGACCTTTTGCTGCTGATCAAGATGAAAACACAATCTGGGATAATACATATGAAGAGCAAGCTGATGAAACCGAATCAACTAGATCATCAACAGATACGTTGTCTAATTGTCAAAGTAAATCTAGAAATCAGCCAGAGTTTGAGATTTGGCAAAACCTAGATACTACTGTAAAAGGTAATATTTTTTAAGTTTGGATGATGGTTGAGTCATTATTTGCTATTAAGGGTGTGGAATGCTACTTTGCTGCTTTAGAAATATGCTTGGTGTTCTAATATTTGAGTGGTGCAACAACAACATTTTTATTAATAAACTGCTCAACTTCACTTTTGTTAGCTAAATTGAAGGCATATGGTATATCCGGAAGTATTTTAGATTGGTTTAAAAAAGATTTGTCTGAAAGGATGCAAGTAATAAAAGTTGATAACACTATTTCATCAAATATTGAAAACATGTTAGGTGTTCCACAGGGCAGTATACTGGAACCACTTCTTTTTATTTTATACATACGTGATTTACCTGCCATAGTCAAAAAATGCAAAATGCAAGATTTTCACTGATGCACTTTGATTTATTTATTTCCAAAGTAATGTGTAATGCCTACAATATTTTCATGAGAGATGGACATGAAACTTTCTAAATATGTAACTGCTTATGTGGATTAGGTATTTAGAACATTGATGCAGTTGAGAAATTTTGTGGTTTCAGCGTTAATTCATCTGCAATACAGAAACAAAACACATTTTACTAACTTGCAACTTGGATGGTTGCTTATGGTCCTGATGATTCATGTAAATTATTTTGGGGATTGATGTTGATAAAAGACTTGATTTTGAATAATGAAAGAAACAAGTATTAATATGAATTATTAATGCACCATATGATCACAAAACTCATTCCTGATGTTTTACATTTTGTTTGTTGTATTTACATTTTATACAAATATATACAGGGTACTCTGGAATTGAAGGATAATCCTGCAACTGCAGATAGCAATCCATTTTTAAAAAAAATTGGCTTATATGTATTCAGTTAATCCAGTGCCATTTCTACAAATATCAACTTTTTGGAACCACGTTTGTTTTAAAATACTCAGAATTAAGCATTTTATCTTGGTCAGGATTTTTCCTTGAGGTTTTATTAACATTGCATCTCACATCTGACTTTGACACCCTGAAGAGTGAGAAAATCTTGTACGATTACAGTGCCAATTTGTCGAAAAAATTAACAACTGTTGACAATTTTTTAATGGTATTATTGTTATTCGCCCCCTGGTGTCTTTTTTTTGTTTTATTTCAGTAATAATGGTTTCATTTATACACAATATGTGTGCCATAAAGTGAAACAAAAAAGTTAAAGGTGCTTTAAGTAGAGAGAAAAGAAACTATGAATATGATTAACAGATATTAGCAAAAAAAGAAGATATAGCTATATCATGTGTAATGTTAATGTTTATTGTCACAAAATACAAGTAAATAGCAAATATTGTGCACAATAAACATAAAGCACCCAAAAAAAGTTTGCACTTGTGTTTGGGTTTGTACAAAAAAAAAACAGTCAGTGTATGAAAAAAAAAACCGTTAGTACTGTATAATTTGGTGAATTATTATGGTAATGTCAGGAAAAATATCCAGACAATTACAACTAAAGTAAAAGTATGGATGTTAGTGTAAGTAAAATATTATTGATTTTGATAATGATTTACACATAAATATATATCAAACGAAAACGTTTGGAGAAAGGGCTAAAAAAAGTCAATGTGAGTTACTTTGTAATTCCTGAAATCTACAACAGAAGATATCATAAAAACTTCCAATCCTATTCGCATTATTGTACATAAAGTTAATAGTGCTTTAGATAGAGGATTTGTCTGTGCCATTTTGCATAAAAAGGAACCTTTATATTTGGATGTCAATCTAGGTACCAGGAAATCAATTTGCGATAGCAAAACAGGCAGTCGATGTTACCATGCAGTAATTTGATCGACTCCTGCTATCTGCGTTTCTCCAAACAAGGTACTCCAAATCTATTCAGTAACTTAATAAGCTTTGTGATATTGAAATTTCTACAATTTCCGATTATAAAGCCATATGTGCGATACTCATTGCTTATAATTTCTCTGATGTGGTAGTTAAAGGTGTGTTGACAATCGAAATAGATTCCCAAATCTTTGAAAGTTTCACACCTTTCCAATATAGAATCATTTATTTTGTATGGGTAAGTTAAACACTTGGCTTTCCGGGTGAAGGTTAAAATGCTGCATCTAGAGTTGTTATTGATACACCATTGTAAAAAAAATATTTGTTGTTGCCAGCTAGAAACAGATGTGTAAAGCTTCAGATCATCAGCAAAAAATAAGCTTCTTGCATGATAATGAATTGCAAAGATCGTTGACATATAAGGCAGACAGTAGGTGACTTAAATTCGAACCTTGATGTACACCACTACTTGACATATATTTGTAAGAACTAAAAACATTATAGAATACATATTGAGTTCTCAACTATAATTAAGGCTTGAGAAGATCTACATAAGTTCTGTTGAATCTCATGTATTCAGTTGTTTGTAGAAGTAGTTGATGGTCAATTTTGTCACAAAGGCTTTTGTCTGCCATTACGCATAGATGTTGACTGAACCTGGCCAAATTCGTACAGTGGATCTCTGCTTCATGCTGATGCACTGGTCTTTAGTTGCCAAGTATATTGTGGAATACAATATTATTTCAAAGAGTTTTGCAAAGTTATTCAGGATAGTCATCCCCTATATTTATTTACTAAGGTACTGTCTTGCGACTTTCATTGAAAATTAGGCAGACTTTGGCATTGTTCCACTTATCAGGTTGAAAACCGATCAACGTAGAATTAAATTAAATATTGTCAACAAAGGGGTTGAGAAGAGCTGTACACAGTCTTTAATAAAAACGATGGAAGTTGGTGGAGAGTAAACACTCTGAAAAAAATCAGTAAAAGCATTAACCATTGATACGGGGTCATTACAGGAGTTATTTTGATAGAACATTTTACTAAGATTTCTAGGTGTGTTATTCCTATAGCTTGGATACAAAAAATTGGACAGGATTGACGTTAAATAATAATTTACATTCAAGCTATCAATGTGTGTTATGCATGACCTATCTATTATCATAATACATTTTTTTTAACCTACAAAATAACAGCTCGAATGCTCAAGGATGCCTCAGTTTTGGAACTCAATTCTGTTACTAGGGTCAGCACAGTTTAGTAGACATATTCTCTAAAGCAACCCTAATAAAAAAAATAGTGGATTTAGGTCCAACGATTTTTGTGTGGAAATAAGACCGTGTAGCCTGACCTACCTTTATGGATGTTGCATTTTTGTAATTGAAATGGTCTCGATTTGACCGAGTGTAATGTGACGGAATATTAAGTATTGATAGGCGGCACCAGATCTTAATCAGAATATTTTGATTGACAAACTCAAATGAATGCTAGAAGAAGCAGATTTTATACGCTGTTCCTAAGTTTTGTAGTTTTTAAAAGCCAATTTTTCAAGGAAGATGGAATGCAGAAAATCAAAAAAACCATAAAACTTTTAACAATACAAAATTTCACCATCTCGTAGGGCATGCCGTGACCTATCTACAGTTTCAGGATTATTCTTCAATTTTGGGACACCCTCTGTATTTGTTGTTTTTCTGTTATAGAATGAAGTTTAAAACTCCAAGTTTCCGAATTGTATTTTGTTAGACGAATATTTTTACAGTTAAAAAAAAATGTCAAAATATGGACTATCAAATAAAACTACTTTGCCCACAGGTGAAATAGAAATGGAATTCACAAGTTGTAACAGTATGATGAAAAATAGCTGCGTAAATATGGAGGTCAGCAATTATCTTTTGTCCAAGAACCCAGCCAAGGAGGAAACTATCTTAAATCAATCTGTCATGGATTTTACACTTATACCACCTGCATTAGAGAAGTCTGTTATACAAAATAATTACATAACCATGAATCAATCTTCTACCATGGAATTCACATGTCAACAATCTGATTGCATACAAGATAATGCAATGCAGTCTACTATGGATATGACAAAAGGAATATCTGATTTTTTCAAATATCGTAATAATAAGTCATTGACAGAAATACCAAATCACAGAAAAATCAATCAAGACGAAACAGTGTATAATACTGTTACAATGGATTTAACAAGAATTGTCCCGCCAGTTTCGGCTCCTGACTTAGTGGTACCTAAAATAAATCCGCCAATTTTTAAAGATCCAGTTTTCAATGAATCGGCAACTATGGATTTCACAAAAACTGTCCCAACTGACCAACTGGAACCCCTCTTAGCACCTTCAAAGATTATTCCTGAAAATAACTGTCAGATGAATGTTGTCTCATATGTGCAGAAAAGTGAAAATAATATTGTGGGTAGGTTAAACGATGAAGAAATTGTTTATAGAGACAAGATTCCATGTATGCCTGATATTTCAGCATTAGAGAATGCTGTTCTTGTCAAACCTTATTTTTACGAAGAGCCTGATGGTCAACTAAATAAGCCTAAAAAAGGTATTCTAAAAGGTGTTTCCGAGTCTGCTGCAGATCTCTCAAAGGCACCATCATCAGATAAAATGGATATACATATGCCACTGTGTAAACTAAACCTGACAGCAGTACATAATACAGTTTTTGATATAACTATACCAAGTGTTAAACATTCTTTCTATGAAGAATCAGGGAGTCAATTGTGTAAGCCTCGGAAGGGTATTTTAAAGACTGTTCCTGAGCCTGCTACAGATCCGTCCAAGGTTGAAATGTTATCACACAAAATAGATAAGTCGGTCTGCGTATCAGAAAACATATCCTTGAAACGCCTAGAAAGCTCTTATGCAAACAAGAATATCTCTGGTACTCTGTCAGATGAAATTTCTCATTGTCAAGAACCAGATAGCCGATTATTTCATATAACACCTTGTGACATGACTGTACCAAATAATAAACTCTGTTTTCATGAGGAGCCAAGAAGTCAATTGTGTAAAGCTGAAGATACTCTGGTCCAAAAGACCATCCCTGAATCTGCTTCAGATACGTCCAAGACTAGGGAGTCATCATGTATGATTGATAGGTCAGGCTGTATATCAGACAATGTATCAATGAAAGGACAATTCTCTCAATCTCAGTCATTGAGTGATAATCTTGGTACCACATATACAATCGCAAAAAAACAAAGTCTCGGCAAAACTTATGTTGTAGAAAGTAACATCCTCCCTGATAAAGAAAATATACATCCACTTCAATCAGTAGAAATAAATAGTATAGAGAAAATTCGGCAGGTCATAGCTCCTAGTACAGATAAAGAAAATATCAACCCTTTGCATATTTTAGCAGCTAAGGTAGATGATACAGAAAATATTAAGCCAATAATGGTGGACGATGAAGTTATTGCTGCAGTTGATAAAGGAAACATTAAGCCACTAGTCATGGCAGATAAAATACAACATGAAAGTATTGCTGTTGTTGATAAAGAAAATATTAATCGACCAGGAGTAGCAGATGAAAGACACCATGATATTATAGAGAAAATAAATGATAAGGAACATGTAATTCCTCTGATGTGCCCATTGAAGAATGAAACTGAACTGAAGTCTATACCACCCATCAGTTATGGTCCAAATTCTAAAGAAGAACAACAACCAGAGTGTGTGATACAAGTTACGTATGATGAACCTCCTTGCAAAAAAGTGCATATTATGAAGGAAGATATCTCGTCGACAGAGAAGGATGAATATGTATTCCCTACTGAAGGAGACAGTTCAGGTATGTATTATTGGAGCTATTCACACTCAATTTCACATAATGTACTATCAAAAGTTTGGCCAGTAAAGTATAAATTATGTCAAAATTGTGCGGAAAACCGTTACATGAAAAGCAGAAGTGACGTAAATGCATAAATTGCACACATGCTAATACACACACACACACACACATATATATATACACTATAGGGACGTAATCATTGTAGTAACTAGCTAGGTGAAAGTATTCTTAAGATGTTTTTGGGAACTTGACAAAAAAATGAAAAGTGTACTACTCCTTTAACTTAGAACTCAATAAAGCAAAATCATTTTAAGGATACTTTATATATATATATATATATATATATATATATATATCCTATTATACATCTTTCTAATTAAATTAACGAGATTTAGCATAGTTATTGTACGTACGTTTGATATTCTAGGTTTACTTGAAAACGATTTGAGTGCAGAAATGCTTATGCCATCTCAGCAGTTGAATGAAGATAATGCATTAAATATTCTGTATAGCGAAAAAATTCAACCACCAGAATTATCTTCACCTGGAACTTCTGCTATGTTGATGTCTACAACGTCTTTCGCCTATAATAACAGTGAACTTGACACGGATCAACTCATCCACACTACATTCTCCCAACCGGGTATTTGTCTATTTTCATATAATAGTTTTCGCTATTAAATGTAGCTTTGATCATAACTAACTATAACCATTATCTAACATATTCCACGACTACCACCATATCATGGTGCCACCAACGCTTACAATTCTGTACCTCAGAGCCAGACTAGGTTAAGTCCAAATAAGTAATTTTGAGATAATTGAATTTGAAATATTGTTCTTGTATTGTATTGTATGCGACTTGACATGAGTTAAAAAGTCGTAACTTCCTTATTATTACAGATATGTGGACGCTGCAAGTAGCAAATGAAAATTCACAATATTATCAAACACTTAAGCATATTGATCTCATTTTTGAAAAAAATGGACTTAACCTAGTCTGGCACCGGGGCACCGAAAATGGCAAGAGATACGAAGTCGCTTAATGGGGTCAAAGTTGCGCATTTCGGTAACTAACAAAATGTCGCTCAGACAGTTTCGAAACTCAAAGTGTTTATGGAGGTAGACGGAAAAAACCGAAATTTCCCAAAGCCGTTTTAATTTCTCATGGCTTTATTTGCTGTGAGATTTCAGTATAAATTACACATTGTCATTGCTACTTTTTCACCTCTACAAGATGGTATAATTATAATTTCAATATGACGTTTCGTCTCTTATCCTCCAGCATCAACTTTATTTTTCTTATAGACACCATATTGGATTTCAACACAGGTGTAAAGAGATTTTAACTCTGATCCCAAAAATGTATAACGTAATATGTCATACATTCGCATTGCCAAACCTTACTTATTTCAGAAAACCACAATTTCCTAGGTAGCCTTTGGAAGTATCAAGTAGTCATTCGTGTCATTTACCTGACCAGACCCCAAAATGAACATAGTAACAGATTGCAAGACAGAAGTAGGGAAATAAACCGAGCGGTGAACAATGCATAGAGAAGAGTCAGGCCTTGCCTACAATTGAAAATGTGACTATGACATCTTGTAGCTGAGAAAAAGTGACAATGACAGCATGTAATTTACGTATAAATCCTATCTCAAGTCAGGAAAAAATGAGTTTTCGATAAATCTGGTATACAAAACAAATGACTATCTGATAATTTCAAGGCATGTCAAGGGAAATTCTCTTTTTTGACATAACTAAGGGACGTATCGTCAGTTGTTCCTACAATTGTAGGACACCTTTATGGCCTTCTTGATTTTCATAATCTTTCCTCTCTTTCAGAAAGGCTGGGGTAGATTTCTGCGGTTCCGTCTCAGCGTCAGGCTATGTTTTCTTCTTGAATTTCAGGAAATTTCAGGCTATATAACGGAATATATATATACATATATATATATATATATATATATCAAAAGCATGAACAATTTAATGCAAATAGATATTTGTAACATAACCTCAAATTAGAGCGCTGACGCGGAAGAGTAGACAACTATGAATATCAAGTAGGCCATAAAGGCATCCTACAATTGTAGAAACGACTGACGATACGGCCCCAAGATTTGTCAATGCCAATGTAGGATATATGTGTATTATACATTTTTAGAATCAGAATTGAAGACTCGCCTGTGCTAAAATCCAGTATGACGTCCATAAGAAAAAAAAAGTTGATACTGGAGGACACGAGACGAAACCTCATATTAAAATTTTTACTATCCCATCTTGTAAAGGAGGAAAAGTTGATGTGCAATTTATTTTAAAAACTCATTACAAATAAAGCCAGGAAAAAATTAAAATGATTTTGGGAAATTTTTATTTTTTTCCGTTTATCTAAAAGAGTACTTTCTAAGCAGCATTTAAGCGAATTCATATTTCTTAGTTTGTGAGATCCCAATGGTAATGGTCGAATTTGAAACACCCGGTGTAACTGTCGACCACCATCTTTACGTACGTGGTCCCCCTGCTCTGACATAAGGTTGATGTCAGGCTTAAGAATATACAATTTCCCTCGAAAGGAAAATGGAGACTTTTTATTAGTCTTGTTCCAAAACGTCAAAGAACAGTTCTGGAATGATCACGCGTCAGTGAACTTAAGAAATTGTACCAGCACTGTTCGTTATTGTAACAGGACGATTCTATATTTTATTATAATCAGTTTTGGGATCATTCTGGACTGGTTTTGCTTCGATGAGTTCGGTGAACCCGTAGAAGAGTGTGCCAGATAATTAAGCCGTTCTGGTATGAGGCCAGAACTCAAAATTGGAACAGAACTATTACTTTTAAGAGAATTACTACTACTACTTATTAATACGTTAATCACTGTTATAACTAACGTAAATGTCGCAAACTTCGGTATGTTGAGGGACTTTTCATTTCTAGATTTGTTCAAAAATTGCTGATAAGAAGCCGAGATAAAACTTTTTCCTAAAGAGAACAGACAAGTGTAAAAGCCGTTGTTTCAGTTTGCAGTATCCTTTCAAATAATTTTTTAAAACATTCCAATTGAAACATATTTTGCCTTCGTGAATGTTTATCGCCTATTTCGTGATTCAGTCTCTGGGTATTTGATGTGGGATAAGTAACATCATATATATCTTCATGAGTAAAGATAAACGGTTTTGATAATTAACGAAATAATTAATCGTTTTGTGGTATACAAAATATTCACGTTACATATCACATGAGTAATAAAGGTACATGAAAGCAAGAACTACATGTCTACCTGACGTATATCACATAACAAAAAAAAATGTAGATCACATGCTAGGCTAAATACGAAATCTCAAAACAATTTCAATTGAAACGTCACATTCTATAACATATTTAAAACAAGGCTATGATATGAACAGCAGAAAACAAAACTGTACCGATTGTCAATCTTTGTATTTGGAATATTATTAATATAAGATTTCATTCCATAAATATTTTATATGGTTATGACCTATCTTTATTTAACTTCTTATGATTGTACCATAATAAAATATTCATATTTATCAAGTATTTTTATCTCGAATTTATCGAAACAATGTCCCTTATTTCGTGTTATTACTTTTGTAATATATACAGGGTGGTCCATAAGTCCTTTGAAATTTCAAATTTGAATAAAATTTAACGGGTGAGCGTGAGCGGCGCGGGCGAGGTGGGGGCAGTATCTTCAGTGTCTGGGAATTCAGTCGCCATGGAGTGTTTCACTGGAGCGGATCGTGCTTTTTGTGTGCGCGCGTTTTATCAAAATAATGTTTCGGCAACCATTGCGCGGCGTAAATATCGAGAATACCACAATTTTACAAAGTGTCCAACAGCTCAAACGATTAAGAACTGGGTTGCTAAGTTCGAAGAGACTGGTTCGACGTTAGATAAACAGCGGTGTGGTCGTCCAAGGACAACTCATATTGAAGAAAATATCAACATTGTGGCACAGTATGTTCGTCAAAATCCTACCCAGTCTACTCGTAAGCGTTCCAGTGCACTAAACGTACCCAGAACATCTTTACAGCGGATTTTAAGGAAAGATTTACGTCTGCACGCTTACAAAATTCAGTTAGTGCAGGAATTAAAAGATAATGACGCTATTCAGAGACTAAACTTTGCGAATGAAATGTTGAATCGATTTTCTTCGCTCAATAATGTGTTGTTCTCGGACGAGGCTCACTTCCATTTAAACGGGCATGTAAATAAACAAAATTGCCGTTATTGGAGCCCCGAAAATCCAAGGCGTAAGCATCAGAAGCCCTTACACAGCCCTAAAGTTACAGTTTGGGCTGCTATGTCAGCGCATGGCATCGTAGGCCCTTATTTTTTTGAGGACGACAGAGGTCGCGCATTAACTGTTACTTCGGAGCGGTATGTAGCAATGATAGAGGAGTTTTTGACACCAGCGTTGCAGAATTTTCCAGGCTATAATACGCAGACCTGGTTTCAACAGGACGGAGCAACTGCCCACACCTCCAACACTTCTATGCCCGTCGTCTGTCAACTTTTTCCCAGCAAAGTAATTTCTCGAAGAGGAGACATTTCCTGGCCACCACGTAGTCCAGATTTGACCCCAATGGACTTCTTTTTATGGGGCTACCTCAAGAGTAAAGTGTACGACACCACTCCGCGATCAGTTGATGTCCTGAAAGAAAATATCCGAAGAGAAATGGCAAGCATTACAGTGTTGACTTGCCGCGCAGTCATCGACAATTTTAGACGTCGTTTATATGAGTGCCGTGATCGTAATGGATTGCATTTAGACGATGTGATTTTTAAAACATAATTCCCATTCAATAAAGATGATAACAAAATATAATAATTCTTCATAATGTAACTAGTTTGGTTTTATTCCTTTTTTTCCAGCTTAAAGGACTTATGGGCCACCCTGTATAATAATAATAATAATTTATTGATAATTTATAATTCACGTGAATAACTCTATTATTATTTCATAACGACTTTCCTATTTAGACACATAAAACAAAATCTAATGAAGTTTTGGACTATCACGATGTTTTGGACATTTACCGTATATTTCTCTCCAAGTAACAGTTCCTTGTTTTTTATACTTGTTCGCTTGGAAAATCTTTGTTCATTACATAAGTAGGTTTCTTTCTATCTTTGTTAATTCCAAACAAAATATATGATTTTTCATTACCTGATACTGTTTTAGATGACAGCAGTCCTGGCGAATTTTCAATACACTGTCAGAATGTTTTGAAAAAACTATCCAACTACCTACCATCCCAAAGAAAATCTATCGACTTCGATCGCAAAGAGCACAATGAGAGGCATGCTAATTTAGTGAAATCTTTCTACTGTATAAGTAAGGAGATGCATGATATTTTAACTGATTTTAAACTACCCGAATTCAAATGGGACTCTGATATGGTTGAACCAGAAGTATCGAAGCCTGAAAGTGAAACATCTACTAGTATTCCCACCAGTCCTATAATTGAGGAAGAACTGGAAGAGGCTGTGGTTGTAAAGAAAACCATACTTGAAAAAGTCCAAGAAGCTGCCAAAAGGTATTAAAATGAATAGTTCAGTCAAACGTACATAGCTCACCTAACTATTACTAAAATTCTAAGAACTTCTGAAAGAGCATGCTACAGAAATATCAATCAGTATTTCTGGCATTACCTGGCTCTTTTTCAAACGTTTGCTTTTTTCCAGGGTGAAGGATGGTCGATGGTATTTTCTAGGAAATAACGATAGTGATTATTACTTTGGAGCACTTTTCAAATCCATATTCATTAAAGTGAATGTACATCCAACGTCTGGCATAGTTAACTCGTTCGAGACAGATTTCAATAGCGCATTTGGTAAATATTTTTTCGTAATATTTCAGAAAATTGATTTTTTTACAATTTCACTTTCTGTGGCCTTTCTCATAGTACCGCTAGTTTGACAAGGATTTATTTCCAAAAAGTAAAGCTTCATTGTTACTGTTTTGAACAAATAAATTAGAACAGTCGCTATGTTTTGACTGGCAGAAAAACTAGCTTTAATTAGACCATAATCATCAATAATTATCGTTTGTCCATTCTACAGATACAGCGAATTTGGAACCAATATTCCACTACAACGCCATAGTATTAAATTTCAAGTTGAAAAAGGATTACTTAACCTCGGTGATTGGAGCAAAATATGACATATTAACATTTTTGGATTACGTGCACTTGTCTGTCGATGAAGTTCTGGAGTTCAATGGCCAGTGGGTCAACCTCCAATGTAAATACCAAAAATCACACAAGATCAGGATGACAAAAGATTATAGGTATGTTAAAAACAAAGCTTATGGAATACTTACGCAAGATTAAAATTAAATAGAAAACACATTTTTTCTTTAGACTAAATTTTCTAATAAATCGTAAAATGCATTTAATAGGGTTATGTAGAGATTATCACATCAGGCAAATGCCCTCCTCGACTTTCTTACTTAGCACTCTTTTGTTGCGATTTTCCATTACCATGTTACATACATGTGACTCAATTTCGGTAATACAGCGTTGCAATTCCATCTTCAATGCAGACTTTAGGGCATAGACATTTGACTTGAAATAACCCCATAAACGGAACTCAATCGCGTAAAATCACATGATCCGAAGAGCCAATTTTGATCGCCGAAACGAAACAGTACACGACGATTCTTTAAACGAGGAAGTAGAATCACTGAGAGAAAGTGGGAGTGGATCTCGTCACTGGGGAATAATATCAGACTCTGACACCTGTCAATTTGTCACGCAAATTTGAGAATGCGTTCATTTTCGGCAAAATATGTTCCTGGGTTCTCCGAATCATTAAACGTTCAATCGCAACGCTAACTTCATCTTTTGAAATGAGCTGAAATAAGACAGAACTTCGCCCTGCGGACAGCCCCGAGCTACACTGGCGCTGCAGCATACGCTGCTTGTAGTACAGCGTTCTCGTAAGAAAAGGAAATTCTTCCTTCACCATGAGCGTGATTTGGGAATCGTCCCTATGGGAGTAAACGGTGTACATTCACAAAAACTCAGTGATCGGGATGACTAGTAGTTTTTGGGTACTGTCACGATAAATCCAGCTACAGCACTAACACTCCATCTACATTCCCCATAAATGAGGTGCATGTCGCGGTATTTCTGTACGGTGTACACAGACGTGGTGGCAATACACAATCACGAATTAATAAATGTGGCGTTACTATCTGTTTTGTTGTCACTACTTAGAATGACACTGTCCGTCACTCCATCTAAGAAAACATTGAAATTTGTAGTAATGGGAACTAAAAGATCATCACATGGTGTAGATTTTTCCGATTTTTTTAAGCCAGAATTTGAAAAGAACAGATTATTTTTATATTTTTCTGATAACTATTATGACATTCTATCCCCCGTTTCCGGCTTAACGTCTACTTCTGGGACACCCTGTACAGTAATTATTCAAATTATCCCGCTCTCGAATCTGAAATAGTATTTTTTTAATACTTCACCCATTATTCTTTTGAGTACTAACCATATTTCACTCGATAAGCATTTAGCAACGGTCTTAAATTCTGCCATAAATAAAAAATATCTAGTATTAATTTGGAGGCTTCGATCAAATAATCGCTTTATTAAAGTTTATTTTTGAGGACTTTAGGCTTGCCTATGTCTTTTGTTTTGTTTGTAGTTTTTTTTTTTCGTTCTCCTATGTTTGAAGACCTAGCTGCCAACTAAAACGATAAGTAATAAGGTTTGTTTCACTTTCTTCTGTTGGTTTTAAACACCGACCTCATAAACCAAGCATTTGAATGCACATTCAAATAGATTTTCTTTTACATTATAAGCAGATAGTGAACCTTAGACAGCGTAAATTGACATCAACTTCAATCCTAAATTATGACATGAATACGACTATTGTTCAAGGATTTTCGGTTAATAACCAAACTTTTTACACCGACAACGTTGAAGAGCACTGTTATCATAGTTATTTCTATATATAAATGGTATTGCTAATGACTTTTTGCACAACATCAAAATGATGCTGCCAGTTGCTTAAGTTACTCTCAATGAGAACACCAAAAAAAAACACAACCAAAGTCCAAACCGGGTTAAAATGACAGTGGGTTGCTTTTGATTAGACCAAACATGAAAGGTTTTTCCGCCAGAGTCATTGTATACTTTGACAAAAACTAACTACTTTTCATGAAAGGTATTTTTGTTTCAGTGTTATCGTTGAACTTCTGAACGCAGAGCACGTTATATGGTGGATTATATCTTTGAAGCTATCAGTCTCGAACGTTCCAGGACTGTGCGAAGACGTCACAGCTAGGGCTCAATTGGGCGAACCAGTGAACGAAGAGTGCCTAAAAAAAATTGCGAGGAGTATCACGCCCGGATCTCACTTTTTATCTAAATTTATGTTAAAGTTGTCAGACTTCACAAAAAAACTTATATTGAGGTTGAATTATGAAAAGGAGGCAAGAGATTTTAAATAATTCCATTGAATGATAAAAGAAATTTTTTATTTTTGTATATAGACTGGTATACACTAGACTATTTTTTATGATTGTGCTGATTGGAAACACGTGTAATGATTAACGGAGACGAGTATTATTTTTACGGCCTGGAATTGGGAAATTTTTGATAAAATGGTTTTGTGCTGAGTAAGATTTTGAAAGAACAGAAAAGCTAATATATGCATAAAATAACTGTATTTGGTTTAAAACACTTATTTATAATATCAGGTAAGTTGAAAATCATAAAATAAAATATAAAAAAATAACCATATACACAAACATTACATCTCGAACAGCTTCCGTAAATCTTGAATAGTCAGTTTATTTGCTGCCACTTGTTTTGAGCCAGTTAACATGTTGTCTGCTATACCCAACTTATTTTGTTGTAATTCCAAAATCCTCTTTTCAATTGTGTCTGCTGCCATAAACCTGCAAGTAGTGAAAACATTATAACAGACAAAAAAAACAGCACTTGTAAATTTGATCCTCATGAATCGTTAAAAGCAATTTAAAAACTCCACATCAAACTTATTAACTATCTTCAGGGTGACAGTGTTTTGTTCTAAAAATTACAGTGTTTTTGAAACTCCACTTACTTGTATATAAAGACGGGTTTTTGTTGACCAACTCTATAAATACGATCCTGCGCTTGATTTTCTAGTTGAGGATTCCAGTGCAAGTCCAACAAGAAAAGATGGTTTGCACCAACTAAATTTAATCCTACTCCTCCAGCAGTTAATGATAACATGAGTATCTGAAAATTAAAAAAAATATATTTTATTGGATTATTATTTCGACCAGAGAGATCTACCGACACCAGTATGTATATATTGCCTATTTTGCCGATTATGAATCAGCCGAAATGACTGCCGATATAGGCCGATCCATATAAACTAATTAATAACGTTTTATGTTACTGAACTGAAGAAAAATACAATACCGAGAAAAATATATTTCAATTGTATGTAATGTGTTTTAGTTATCTACACTGAAAACCAAACACCTCTAACGTCGTAATGTGTACGAAGCGCGAGAAGCGTGCAATACGAGTTAGAAAGAGAAGGAGGCACCTTGTTGTCTAGCAACCCGAGTGTCAAGACCACAGACGCCATGGGCGCACTCTTTCTTGCACATCTCTCACGTACACATTACATCAACCAAATTTGAACCTCACCGTATATAAAAATATGAGTGTCTATCCAGTCTTGTCATCATCACATCTGAACTACAAGACTGAGAGACGTAAAAATTTATATTGTACAGGCATGGGTTTATCCACGAAAATATACAGGGTATTCGAATCAGTATGGATAGATCAAAATATCTCGGAAAATACGTTTCCTTGCGAAAATGTTGTAGAAGTTGTAAGGTTTGAGAAGATCTATCCGTTGGTGATCTTGAACGTAACCTCGACTATGCTGGTCAAAGTTGCTTGAGTTAACAGTTGTCTTATTTGAACTCCCTATTGTTGACGTTGGAAATACAGGGCGTCCCAGAAGTCGTCGTCAAGCCAGAACCGGGGATAGGCCAAGTCATAATAGTTATCAGAAAAATATAAAAAAAATCAAGTCGTGTACTTTTCAAATTATATGTTTTAAAAAAATCGGAAAAATCTAAACCCTGTGATGTTTTTTTTTGTTCTCATTACTACAAATTTCAATTTTTTTTAGACGGACAGTCTGATTCTAAGTGACAAGACAGATAGTAACGCCACTTTTCTTAATTCAAGATTGTGTATAGCCACCATGTCTGTGTACACTGTACAGGAATACTGCAACATGCACCTCATTTCTAGAGAAGAGGCTTTATCGTGAGAGGTACCCAAATCCTGCTTGTCATCCCGATCACCGTATTTTCGAGAATGTGCACCGTTTACTCTCATAGGGACGATTCCCAAATCAAGCACATGGTGAAGGAAGAAATTCCTTTCCTTACGAGGATATCGTACTACAAGCAGTCGAAGAAGACCCGAGTACTTCAGTATGTCAAATAGAAGCAAGCCCGACAGTGCCCAAAAGTACAGCTCACCGAATCTTGCGAATGAACAAGCTCCACCCGTTCCACGTACGCAAGTACAATCTCTAAAACCCAGGGATTATCTACCAAGAGTTGAGTTTTGTCAAACAACTTTACAGAGACACCGGGGAAATCCGCGATTTTTAGAAAAAAATGTATGCACTGACGAGTCGACATTTAAAAAAATGGTTACATGAATCTAAACAACTTACACGAGAGGCATGTGGAAATTCCACATTAGATGAGACAAGATAGATCACAGTAGTTTTCGAGTGAACATGTTGAGCGGGATTCTAAATGGGAGAATCACTGTACTCTTTGAGCTACCACAGTTCTTGAATGGCGAAGTTTATTTATGCTTTTTACAAAATCATTTACCAAATTTATTGGAAGACGTGCTACTAAGCATTTACAGAGACATGTGTTACCAGCAAGACGGACTGGTACAATTTCATAGCCAGTCCGTGTGCCCGACTTAAATCCACTCGATTTTGTTTACTGGCGAGCGGTGAAAGCCAATCGAAAATTTAGCAGTGCTACGAGACAGAATAACGGATGCAGCTGAATCTGTTAATAACCGAAGGTTTGCCCGTCTGATAATCCGATCATTTTTAAGATGCCAAGCTTGCCTTACTGCTAAAGAAAGGCAGTTTGAACATTTGTGGTGAATTTAATAAATACATTCACGAATTAATAATAGTGGCGTTACTATTTGTCCTTGCTGTCACTACGTAGAGTGACCGTCACCGAAAAAATTGAAATTTGAAGTATGAGACCTAAAAGATCATCACAGAGGAAGATGTTTCCGATATTTTAAAACCTATAACTACATGACTTAAATTTTTTACATTTTGCTGATAACTATGTCTTGGCCTATCCCCCGTTTCCGGGTTGACGTCGACTACTGGAGATTGTTAATTGAGAACCGGTGGACAGAGTTTAAGAAAAAACGCATAAAAATGATCTACAGGTTCACAAAAAAATTAAAAGTGGTTTATGCTGGGCGACTCTATATTTTTCCATCTATGAACTCAAAATTGGAGGACGTATGAAAGTAATTTAGACATCACAATCCCGAAAAGATGCTCATCCACCACAAATGCCAAAATGTGTAATCTTAATGCCTGAATAACCGTCTTGTTGGTCCACCGACCCTAATTTTGAACTTCACATTCGTGTTCAGCGTAAAACAGTACCTGGGTAGAACATACCGGAACCATAAGCACACAACACTTTGATCTGGCGAAACTGGAGGCTTGGAGGGGAGACAGGAGAACATGTGATTCGCCTTCAGCACAAGTTTGAACTCGCTCGAGACATTTGGTTGTCTGTTTTTTGACAATATAAAATTGTAAAGTCTATAAGTTAGACTATTGATAACCTTTTGGGATTTAAGTCGGACAACTCAACAAAAAATATCTGTTGACAGTGGTAAAGTGCATTGTTGTCAGCAGACATCTTGGGAGTCAAGCATGCTTACATTGTAAGACATAGTTAAGTGTACTTGGCGAGTACACCTGATGCCTCCGTGTTAAAGCGGTAATGAGATTTTGGCCAAAGATATTTAAGTTTAACAAGACTTAAACTGTGAGCAGCGGTAGATACTTACTCTTATTTTATTAGAAGGATTGTTGAAGTTATTAACAATCTCCATCCTTTTGTGAACTGGAACACCGCCATCTAATCGTTCAAACCGGTAACCATCTCTTTTCAGGAACACCTCTATTATCTCTAAATATGAAGACCACTGGGAAACAATCACGACTTTGTCATCTTGCAGCGATATTTTATTTTTTAATACATCCATCAAAGATACAATCTGGAAATTGCGCTATTATCAATATTTGAACTTGAACAACATTAAAAAAAGTCAAGCATACTGAATCAGTTACTTGGTACGTGTACCGATGTTCTGAACGCTATTTATTTATTTCCAATACCTAGATATTACTCTAGAAAAATATGTTTATAACCTGTGTAGGTCTAAAAATATGACAACATAGAATAATGCATGGTGGAATGCATACAGCTATTATTACCTTGCTGCTAATACTGCTTGGTGAAAATACAGGGTTAGATGGATTCAACAGACTACTTGCTACCTTATTGAAATCGGTCTTGGTCGGATCATTATTTTCATTACTAGACTTATCGTGAATGCTATTTTCCTCAGTCAAATTTAAGTTATTCAATTGCTCAAGTAGATCTAATTCTTCATCACCCCCGTCTCCGCCGTCAAGCTCGCCTACATTTCCACCTAACATCTGGAAACATTATGACAAGAAAATGCGTCAAGTAGGTTGACTCTGTATTTCCCACACGATTATGAACAAATATACTTTGAATATGCATTATGTACAGTATCTAAATCAACTATTGTATGCTCTGCTAACTTTATTGTTCTCCTTAAACACTGAAATCGACGGCTATACAGATTTCATTTCATAAAGATATCTTCATATTCGCAAAAGGGCTGGTGAATGTCTATTCGTTATTTTGCACCTGAATAACCATATCCCCTAATGTGTTAGTCGCCATTGTTACATAGTCAGGCGTCCTTGACAACCTCTTGTCAGCTCTTCAGGTAAAAAAATCATCGCGTGGATTTTTCCGAGATACAGCACCAGCGACAACCGTTCATACCATATAATTTATATTGACCGCATTTGATAGAGAAATATCCAAATATTCTGACGAGGTAATGTGTACAAAAGAGAAGCGCGAGAAGTGACGTCAAAGCATCAAAGTACTCGTCAATTGAATAGAAACGGCGATTAAGCAATTTTGTTTTCGCAAATTTTGAAAAACAGCGATTATTCTCCATTTGCGTTGACGAATAAATTATATAAATTAACATTAGTTTAGTAGCGAGTATCGATTCCTTAGGTAATTAGCATTACGTAGTTCTGTAGAGGTTTCATTATTGTCTAGATTTCTATGTAGGAATTCAAAAATATAAATTTCTGCATGGATATAATTTGAAGACAAAACATTGTCAGTTTACTTATTTCTTTTTTTTTTCAATCTAATAAATGACACCTATCGATCTTATTCTCTTAGGAGGATCTATCTCCGAATATCTATTACATTCGAGGTATTGCATGGCACCTCAGCACAGCCACCATTTTGAAATTTCCATATGCCATCTTTACTCCAAAAAAAATATATATATATATCCATGCATCAATCTTACCACCCTGAATTTCAGCCTGCTAACTCGATCCGTTTAAAAAATATGTTAATTTTTTACGAATCTTCAGTGCTGTCTAGCTCTTTAAACTGAAGTTGAAAGCGGTTGTTAAGTATCAGACATATCCCAATTGTGCTTTTACTAGCAGTATCATGTACATTTAGTGCTACAGATTCGAGATTGCAATTGGTGTGAACCAAAGAACACCATGTTGTTAAGTCCAATAGACCAAATAAACACACATTCCTTTCAAGAAATGAAAATACTTGTATGGACCAGCAAGACTGTCATGAGGGGTTTATACTTTACTACAAATTACTTACATTTTTTATTAATGATGGATGACAGCAGATCTGCCTAAGTCTTAAGAGCAGTACTAAGATTATAGACTGTTTGACTTCCTCTCCTCTGTTCAAACCCAATAACTTTTGCCTCATTTTAAAAAACTCCGCATTTGGTCCCTCTTGAGCTAAAATTGATGCAAAACAATTACTTCACGTTCGTACAGTAGGAAAAAGTATTTCCACTCATTATCGAAAATTGAATGGAATTTCATTAGCAAAGATAAAAAATGCTTTCTAAGTCATTGAGTTCCTGCAGCAACACAGGACACGACTAATCCGCATTCACAAAAATTAAGTTAAACACATCATAGAATTCATTGAAGAAACCAAAATTTTGATAAAAAATCAAGCTGGATTTAGAAAAAAAAGTTCCACAGAAACGGCAATCAAAATGGTGGTGGAAGACTGGAGAAGAAGTATAGATGAGAAAGAATATATTGTAACAATATTTTTAGACTTCAAAAAGGCATTTGAGACTATAGATAGGGAAAAATTGTTAATGAAATTGCGTATTTAGTAAATAGAAGTCAAAAAACTAAAGTTGGAAATATGTCAAGTGTTCAAAATATATCAGTGGGGGGGGGGTACAGGGGAGTAAATTAGGGCCGATACTACAGGGTCCGGCAATGAAGTATGGTGTTTTTGAAAAAAATTACAAACTTTCATTTTTAAACATACTTCAAAATTTATTATTTTGATACATTAGTGGAATTATGCCATTTAAGAAACATAACATACTCAGGTGCGAAAAATTACATCAGTTAGGTGGAGTCCATTCTTGTCGATGCATTCTTGGAGACGGATTGCAAAATACTCCTTTCTAGCATGGCACGAGGAATCCTTTCAATTTCGCGCGTTATGAGTTCCGAAAGAGCCTCAAGAGTTTGCGGTTTGTCTATGTAAACTTTGGATTTTAAATAGCCCCATAAAAAGTAGTCACAACATGAAAGGTCTGGTGACCGAGGTGGCCATTCCACATTTCCATGCAACGAAATAAGGCGCCCAGAAAAATGTTCCCTTAAAAAGCCCATTGCAGCTCTTGATGTATGGCAAGTCGCCCCATCTTGTTGGAACCAAACTGTATTGATGTCAATTCGTCGTCTTCTTAGTTCGGGCAGAAAATAATCACGCAACATGGCGCAATAACGATCTGAGTTCACTGACACTGTTCGTCCGTTTTCACAAAAAAAATACGGGCCAATTATGCAATTTCGAGATACGGCACACCAAACAGTTACCCTCTCAGAGTGGAGATGTTGTTCATGCAGTTCTCGTGGGTTTTCGTGTGCCCAGTATCGGAAGTTTTGTTTGTTTACCATGCCCGATAAATGAAAATGGGCCTCGTCACTCATGAACAAAACGATGTTGCCGTGCAGCAATTCCAGCATCCTTTCTGCGAACCTGTGTCGTCTCACAAAGTCATTTTGGAGCAGCTTCTGCACAACCATAATTTTATACGGATGGTAATGGAGGTCCAAATGCAAGATTCTGCGAACTGAACGATCTGACATTCTAAGAGCGCGAGCGTGACGTACCGCTGAACGGTGAGGGCTAGTATCCACCGCTTGTTGCACTCTTTCAATGTTTTCCGGAGTTCGCACTGTTCGATCTCTTCCCCTTGCAGTACCAGGTCTCAACGATCCGGTTGTTTGAAATTTATTCACCCACTTCAAAATGGTATCGCGTCTTGGTACGCGACCATGCCGACCAACGTTAAAATGGTTTCGAAATCGTCGCTGTGTGAGCACAACAGAACGACCAGTTTCAATAAAAGTGTTGTAAATAAACACGCGATGTGCCACAGACCACGGCTCCATGGCTACTAAAATGGCATCGCGGAACGAGTAGATATCAATCATCGTGAAAACATTGGCTCGACAGTGCTGCATGTAATAGTCGTTGCAAAAACACCATACTTCATTGCCGGACCCTGTATTTATTATTTATATAAATGATATCTCTGACATTTAAGAACACTGCAAAATTCAAATATTTGCGGACGATACACGTTATATATATATATATATATACAGGGTGTCCCAGAAGTCGACGTCAAGCCGAAACCGGGTGATAGGCAAAGTCATAACAGCTATCAGAAAAATATTTAAAAAAATTTTATGTATGTGTTTTGAAAATTATAGGTCTTTGAAAAAAATATAGAAATTTCACACCCTACGGCAGTCTGTCAACTCCTGTTACTACAAATATTAACTTTTTTTGGATTTTATTTTTACAATGTAATGATGAATAATGCATCTTCAAACTGGTGTCTCAACCTTACTGCCAACTTTTCTCGTTCAGGAAAAATTGCCGCTTATTTCCCAACCAAGTATTCCAAAGCAAAACTTTGCTCAACTTTAACTGGCTGTACTGGAAAAAAATGTACTACGAGAGTTTGGCAAGTAACCTTAAAAGTTGGCGCATTTAATAACGATTCCAAAATGGTATAACACTTAGAAGATTACTCGTTAACTTATGCACAATTTTTATTTGAAAAAAAACTGATGAAAATTTTTCAAAATTTCCTAATTAAACAGCGATTATGAAAATGCACAAGGACCCTTAACGATAACTGTTTGCACAACAGTGGGCGTCAAAGTGCTGCTGATGATGATTTACCTATACAGCAAATGCTCAAACTGTTTTCCTTCAGCCGCAATACACGCTCGACATCTTAAAAAAGATCGGGTTATTAAACGAGCGAATCCACGGTTATTAACAAACTCAGCTGCTTCCAATAGTCTTTGCCGTAGCTAAGCTACATTTTGAATCGGCTTGAAATACACTTTTTCTTTTACAGTTCCCCAGTAAAAAAATCTAAAGGATTCAAATCAGGTGATCGGGATGGCCACGGTATTGTACCAGACTGCCTTAACCATCTGCCTGGAAAGTTTTGATCGAGATACTCTCTCACTGAGAGTGCATAGTGCGCTGGGCAGCCATCATGCTGAAACCACATATCCCTGTAAATACTCAGTGGCACGTCCACCAATAAATTTTGTACATGATTTTTCAAAAAATCCAAATAAACTTCAGCAGTCAAAGTCTCTGGGAACTCAAACGGACCGATTATTTTACCATTTAAAATTCCTGTCCAATGGTTTATCTTGAAGCGATATTGAGATTTATCTTCTCTCATCAAATGTGGGTTTACTACGTGCCACTCGTGTAAGTTATGCAGGTTCATGTACCCATCTTTCTTAAATGTGGTCTCATCCGACCATAAAATTTTTTCAAAGAACTGTGGATCTTTCCTGTGTCTTTCTAACATTGTGCGACAAAAAGCAACTCGGGGCTCATAATCCCGGGGCAGGAGAGGTTGAACACGCTGTATGTGGTATGGATGAAGCACATCACTTACTTGCTATTGCACAGTTTGATACCTGTTACTAATTTTGGATTCGTGAACTGGACTGTTGATCGCTTGTGATTTGGATTTGGACTGTTTAATTGCTCTACAAAACAACATTTGCTTTCCTTAGACTATCTTTGATAGTGTGATTGTGCAGTGCCGCTATGTCCGTGTACACCGTACAAGAATATGCTAACATGCACCTCATTTATGGGGAATGCAGATGCAACGCTAGTGCTGCAGCGAGACTTTACTGTGAGAGGTACCCGAATGCAGCTAGTCATCCAGATCATCGAGTGTTCACAAATGTGCACCGCTTACTGTTCTCAGAGGGCCAACTACCAAACCAATCACACGGTGAGGGAAGATCTTTCCTTCCTTAAGAAGACGTGGTGCTAGGAGCTGTCGAAGAAGACCCGAGTACTTCAGTGCGTGCATTAGAACTAAAAACAGGTGTGCCCAAAAGTACAGCCCATAGAATCTTGCAAAAAAACGTGCTCCATCCATACCACATACAGCGTGTTTAAGCTCTTCTGTCCCGGGATTATGAGCCCCGAGTTGCTTTTTGTCGCACAATGTTAGAAAGACACAGGGAAGATCTACGGTTCTTTGAAAAAATTTTATGGTCAGATGAGACCACATTTAAGAAAGATGGGTACATGAACCTGCATAACTTACACGAGTGGCACGTAGTAAACCCACATTTGATGAGAGAAGATAAATCTCAATATCGCTTCAAGATAAACCATTGGACAGAAATTTTAAATGCTAAAATAATCGGTCCGTTTGAGTTCCCAGAGACTTTGACTGCTGAGGTTTATTTAGGTTTTTTGCAAAATCATTTAGAAAATTTATTGACGGACGTGCCACTGAGTATTTACAGGGACATGTGGTTTCAGCATGATGGCTGCCCAGCGCACTATGTACTCTCAGTGAGAGAGTATCTCGATCAAAACTTTCCAGGCAGATGGATAGGGCGGTCTGGTACAATACCGTGGCCAGCCCGGTCACCAGATTTGAATCCGTTAGATTTTTTTTACTGGGGAACTGTAAAAGAAAAAGTGTATTTCAAGCCGATTCAAAATGTAGCTGAGCTACGGCAAAGACTATTGGAAGCAGCTGAGTTTGTTAATAACCGTGGATTCGCTCGTTTAATAACCCGATCTTTTTTAAGAAGATGTCGAGCGTGTATTGCGGCTGAAGGAAAACAGTTTGAGCATTTGCTGTAAAAGTAAATCATCAGCAGCAGCATTTTGACGCCCACTGTTGTGCAAATAGTTATCCTTAAGGGTCCTTGTGCGTTTTCATAATCGCTGTTTAATTAGGAAATTTTGAAAAATTTTCATCAGTTTTTCTTCAAATAAAAATTGTGCATAAGTTAACGAGTAATCTTCTAAGTGTTATACCATTTTGGAATCCTTATTAAATGCGCTAACTTTTAAGGTTACTTGCCAAACTCTCGTAGTACATTTTTTTCCAGTACAGCCAGTTAAAGTTGAGCAAAGTTTTACTTTCTAATACTTGGTTGGGAAATAAGTGGCAATTTTTCCTGAACGAGAAAAGTTGGCAGTAAGGTTGAGACACCAGTTTGAAGATGCATTATTCATCATTACATTGTAAAAATAAAATCCAAAAAAAGTTAATATTTGTAGTAACAGGAGTTGACAGACTGCCGTAGGGTGTGAAATTTCTATATTTTTTTCAAAGATCTATAATTTTCAAAACACATACATAAAATTTTTTTAAATATTTTTCTGATAGCTATTATGACTTCGCCTATCACCCGGTTTCGGCTTGACGTCGACTTCTGGGACACCCTGTATATATATATATATATATATATAGGATTTGGACACTGCTTTAGAACTGTTAAATAGTGATATTGAAAAAATTATGAATTGGTTAAATGTCAATAAACTTAAATTAAACACGAATAAAATAAAATGTATGTCAATAGGGAAACATTTAGGTGACAATACAATTAGGATCATGATTAATGATGAAAAAATTGAAGTAGTCGAGTCATTTAAATATCTTGGTATATATGTGGATAGAAAGCTACTGTTTCACGAACATTATCAATACATTATTTCAAAAACATCGAAAAAGATGAATTACTTCTATAGATTTTCCCATAATCTTAGTATGTATTCCAAAAAAAATGTGTATAACACTATAATTCTTCTATAGATTTTCCCATAATCTTAGTATGTATTCCAAAAAAAATGTGTATAACACTATAATTCTTCCCCATTTTTTATATTGTTCAACCATGTTGTTTACAGCAAATGAAAACATATTTTCAAAACTACAAATTCTGCTAAAGCTCTGAGAATCATTTTAAATATAAACAAATATGCTAGGATTAAGTCTATGTTAGAAGAACTGCAGTGGTTGGATGTGAAAAATTTCATATATTATTTAGTTCTCGTTTTCATATTCAAATTAAAAAATCATTTATTACCACCATAGTTAGAGAACTTCACAAAATTAAATAGTCGTTATCATAACTACGAAACTAGAGGCAGTATAGATTTTCGTCTGCAAAATTGTAATAGTAGCATAATTAATAAATCTATATTTCAAAAGGGAGTATTTGAATTTAATAAATTGAATAATGATATTTGTAAAAAGTTCAAATTTAAAAATGTTTAAGGTGAAATTAAAGAATCACTTTATGACTAATCAAAATGCATAGTGACGTAATTTTAATTTTAATAGACAAGAATGCAAAATTACAGAAAATGGATTGAAGAAAAATATGTAACCGAATCATTATACAAAATTGACATTGTAGCATTAATGCTAAATAAATCTTCAACAACAACAACATTGGCTTGGTACTTTTCACATATTAAAATAAATTGACTATCGAACGAAGTATTCAATCATCAAGGGCGTACCCAGCTCAAATTGGAAGCAGTTCCACCAATCATATCTGCATAACTTTCTATTTGCATTTCATTTATATTTATATTCCGCGATGATTTAACAATTCATATGGATATGGAAAACTACTAGGATTACTTTTTTGAAACATTCAAGCAAGACAACTGTGAACCCTGTTGAAAAAGAAAATCGTATACAAGGATTTATGTATCCTTTAGATTGAATGCAAAGGCCCATGTCGAAATAAAAAATTCGGATAATCTTTTTTATCAAACTTCAAAGTTGTCTATAGAAGAATTTGGACAAGGATGAAAACACCTTGAAAATGGGTATGTCCATTGTCCATTCGTTGCAATAGTTAATTGGTTATTGCAAAACATCGTTCTTTTTTGCCCAAAATTGCATAAGAGTAAATATGAAATAGTAGCCAAAAGTTAAAGCTTTTGTAGTGATTAACATCGGAAAAATCTTCAAAAATACTCAAGCTATCCAGCAATATAACTGCTGCAACAAATTAGACATACAGGGTGAGTTTTTAGTATCTAATTGGACAATATTTCCATTACTATAAAACGACCAAAAATGTTATTTACAAAAATTGTGGACTGCATGCTTCCTACTTTAAATGTACGGCTCATTACAGCATAATTCATACCGACATGACAACAAAAACTATTTTTGTTTAAATGGAACAACGTACATCTTTTAGTATATTCTAACATGCCACTTCAAAGGGGGACGTTTTAACATAGCCGGGGATATCGCATTTTATTCTAATTCCGGAAATAACTTCTCTTTGTCCATATTTATTCGTTGTTTTTCTACAATTACTTGAAATTTCGTCATATAGCCAAAAATGGTTTTATAGAATATGTAGACTGATATGTATCTAGTTTATCCTGAAACGATTTGTCATATTTTCACCATTGTGATCTCCGAAACCGTAAGAAATACGAGTCGGTTGAATGGTGGCAAAGCTGCGTATTTATATATTTAAGAAAATCCATTTGAAAAGTTATAACGCTTCCAGTATCTCCAGAGATACATGGAAAAAGGGAACGAATCGTTTCAGATTTTTTGCTGAATTTATTTGAGATAGGATTAAAAAATAAACTGCTCATTGGCATTGCCACCTTGGGTTTAATGAGGCTGCTGCCCTTCGGGGCACATCTCCAGGTACCTTGCTGAGGTAATGCCGGCGTTTCTGTGTTAATGCAAGTACAGCGCTGCCATGTCAAACTTTTCTTCATTTGAGTAGGGAATACCGGCCATGTTCAACAGGTTTTGACAATTTTTTGTTAGATTATTAATTTTAATGAGAGAAAACGTACCTACTATTTATTAAACATAATTTTAATACTTTGAATTATTTAACGTCAAAGTCAGAGCCTCCTTAGATGAAAAAAAAATGCGTGGCCTATTAATTTCATTTTCTGACAAATAAATCATGGCCTCCTTAGAAAAAACTAATACATAATATTTCGGTGATAATCCAATCTTATATGCACTTGTGAGACGTCACTAGACTGGAAATTTTACACTAAATTAAAGCATCCAATATGGCGGCAATAAGAAAAATGAAAGTTGAGGCGGGTTGCTGGAAAACAAGAGACGACTGAGACATGTCATAACATGCTATCTTATTTTTCTTAAAAAATGCCCAAATAATGTCACATTTTGACAGCTGTCAAATGAACCGTTTTGGATTTACTGGTAAAAAACAATTTCCGCCATTTTCGGTTTTTCGCTGATATTTTCAAAACCAATCGACCGATCGTAAATCTGAAGCCGGCTATCGAAAGCACTAAGTGTCCTCTAAAACCTTCCCCATTAAACCTTGGCTGTAGGTATATCAGGAGCCGAGATCCCTGTATAGTAAAAAATGTTCTCCGTATTTTTGAGGAGCTAGGGAAAAGGGCTGCCCCCCTCCCCTGGCTACGCCCTTGTCAATCATCAATATTTTGACATAACACTAACTTACATTTTAGGGACTCTGCCAGACGATAATCATCCTTTTTCTCCGCGTGCTGATATAGAAACTGCGCGAACAACGTTTTCGAAAATACAAGAATTCTTTGGTAAACAGCCATCTCTTTCTTGCTCAATATAACTTCTATCAACTCCCAAGTCCTCTCTGGCAGCGCATTCATCATGCCTTTTTCTACTAATTCTGCTTTTGTTCTTCTCAACATTATAGAAGATATGACTGTGTGGAGCCTTTCCTCACCACCTCTGTCTTTCATCCCAACCCAACGCTTCCATACCTAGAACGTTAAAGGTAAATCGATTTTAATAACCCATTGTACAGTCAATCAGTTATACAATCAGAGAAGCAGAGTTCAGCCAATAATGTACAAATATCTTTCAAACCGACACATAAAGAATGGAGCAACAAAATGGATTCAGATCCTCTCGCAAACGTGAATATCATAAGTGATGCCTGAATTCAACATTTTGGAATCCCCTAAATATTTGCGATTTCGTTCCAAAGTGACCAGAAAGAGACAAAGTTACAAATTTTTTAACCAACTTGACGTATCCAAAAGACATTGCGCGAAGAGCTTTTGCTTGGTGGTAGTAGTAGTAGTAGTAGTATACATTTATTTCCCCCAAAATATAATGTGCCAATAAATACAAATACTAACTTCAGTACAATAATAAACGTAAAATAAAACATAATACCTGACTTTCACAAAATAATCTTAAGTTAACATGTTTTATAAGTCACAGAATTTTTTTTAAATTGTCTTGTAAAGCCCATTGAAACGTGCAGTTTTTTTATATAAATTTTGATAATAAATTTTGCTTAGAGCCTGATTTTATAAAACAAGCACACTGTAAGTATGGAAGATAAGGAGGAGTAGCACATATAATAAAGTTTATTCCACTAAAATATGGAGGGTGAGGAGTAACTACTGTTTTGGTACAATACTGTGTCTTAGCGTTTATTTGATTACTCACCTGCAAATCATCGAATGGCGAGCAGCGCAAAAATTTCAGCAGGGCGTACATATCAAGCTCCTTATTATGAATGGGCGTTCCAGTCAAAGCCCATCTAGATTTTGCCGCTAAGCGACAGGCAGCCTCGGAAGTTTGACATTTATAGTTTCGTATCTGGTGGGCTTCATCCAGAACCACACGTTTCCACTTTATATTGAATAACGCTCCTTCCTTTTCACTTTCGTTCTTCACTATTGCGTACGTTGTGATCACGATATCATGTTTTGCTAGCCTTAAAAATATTACTTATTACTGATTGAAATGTGATTCTAGGGATTTCATGGATTCAATCTATGTTTGAGCTATTTCTTCAATACTTGCACCGCCATATTGCACAGTTGTTGCCAAAAAACCGTTCTCCGGCGGGGCAAACGACACATTCAGGGTGACCGATATGTAACTGACTGGTTTGTATCTTGGATATTTGTGAAATGAAATAAAATACGTCCATTTTTTCATCTTAATCTTTTATTGAAACTTATGAATTATGTATGAAAAATAATTTCAGACAAATGTCCGCCTATAGAAGCTGCGCAAACCTGAGCCCTCTTGATTACATTTCCCATCACTTTTTGGTAGGATTCGGAAGGAACATTTTCAATCGCTTCCGTAATATATTCTTCTTCCGCTGCTCTACAGTATTTGGTTTGTTAGCATAAACCCTTTTTTCAAATATCCCCATAAAAAAGTCAGGAGCCGTTAAAACCGGTGACCTTGGTGGCCAGTTGATATCACCAAATCGAGAAATTGAATGTCCCGAAAATATCGTTCGCAAAAGAGCTGTGTAACAAGTTGCTGCAACTCTGCTTATTAACAAATGCGTTCATATGGAAGTGGGCTTCATCGCTCTTTATCAGTTGTCGGTATTGTCGGCGACTTTCATGGTTACTTATCACTTTAGAATCTCTTATAATTTAGTAAGATATAGACTTTTTGAAAATTCGTGATGGCTAAAAACGGGTAAAAAATCACCAGATTTGGTGACAAATCACCTGCAACCCTGATGAATTTGTACGATGATGGCGTGGAAGTAAGAGAGTTGCGTAAGTCTGGTTGCCTATACGTTCAGGTTGACGCAAATATAAATATGAATGGAATAGTGATTCTGCGTTCTTGGGTTTGGTAGCAATGCATGACCGTTACTGCATTATTTGAAATTGAGCCTCATGTGTTCTGTGAACACGGCCTCCTTGGCAAGTCTTCAACTTGACCTGTTTATTCAAATTTCCGCACCAACTGACGAATGGTGTTAATTGAAGATTCAGACATTCGGATAGGAATATAAGAAAAACCTTTTCGCGCGCGCCTTAAATCTGTGGGCAAATTTTATAAAAATACTTTTCAAAAGAGATGGTAAGTAGTAAGCATCATAGTTATCTAACTGGCAGAGTGTTCAAATCTCGCTCACTTCATCTATCAGCTCATAAACATATGTACTACTTGCTTGTCACTTAGCATAATGGTATTGTCTTGTCATGTACCAAGTGTTTCCCAAACATGGGCAGGAATGCTATGAGTAACTCTTGGGGCCATTTTGAAACTTTTTTTCACATATCACTCAAGTCAAAAAATGGCGCCATCAAGATATGCGTGTCATTCGAAGGAAATACAATGATCTGCCGTTTATTGCTTATTTGTCAGTTTTGAGTTGCGCAGTGTTAGAACTTAGGTGGCGATATAATCCAACGAAAACAGTTCACTCATTTAGTTCGCAATACACGCAATACCTATATTACTAATTTTTTTCACGCCTTTGCATAATAATGACGAACATTTTTGGAAATTGGAATGTAATAATTGTGAATTAATATCGGCTGCGGATGGCAAAATGACAGCGAGTGCAGAATATTCCGTGGTCGATTCTTACTCTTATCAAAAATTGCGATGTCGGAATAAATCCCGACATCAAAAAGTTCTTATGTATCCTAGCTACATTACCAGTGCGTATCTAGAGCAGAGATGAGGTAGGGAGGCTCAAGCCAGAATATCGCCTACCTGGACTGGCACTTTTATATGTCTATAAAGATGTACATGTTGATACGGAAGAAGTCATAAATCGATTTGCAAGAAGACAAAAAATAAGAATCCACAAGATCCGGTCATACTGCTGAAAAATATAATGAACAATATACAGTGGACCCCCGATAATCCGGCCCCTGTCTAATCTGGTGCCCCTTGAATATTACATACATAGGTATTTGACAATCTTCGCTAATGTAGACACCGCAGGTTTGAACAGGTTACAACATGTATGCACCACCGCTATCGTGCTCGACGCGTAAGCATTGTTTTACTTAGTTTGAATTGACTAGTTATGATAGCGGTACGGCCTAGCGTGCGTTCATTGTTTACCATTTATTCATTGTGTATTAAGTATAGTACCTAGTAATGTCATCACAAACTCAGAAGCGAAAGCACAAAACATTGACAATTAAAGCAAAATGTGATATTTTAGACCGCTTAAATCGCAATGAAAGTTTCAGTAGTTTAGCAAGTGAATATGCCGTAGGCCGATCTACAATTTATGACATTAAAAGAACCACGAGAAGATCAAGAAGATCGTGTCAACTACTGACTGCGGGCCAGGCAAGAGACAGACATTCAAGAAAGCTGAAGATCCAGAAGAGGTAGAAGCTTTGTACACGTGGTTTCTTCAGGAAAGAAATAGGCATGCACCAATTTCAGGACCCATGTTGGCCATGAAAGCTAAGTTTTTTTATAAGGAAATAACAAAAAAAGATGATTTAGTGGCCAGCAAAAGATGGCTAGAACGTTTTAAAAGTCATCATGGCATACGTTTAATGACTATTACAGGAGAGAAACTTTCTGACGATGCCACCTGCATAGAGCCCTTTAAATTAAGATTTTTGCAAAAGATTAACGATTTAAATCTTGACCCGTCACAGGTGTACAATGCAGACGAATCAGGGCTTTTTTGGCGTGTGATGCCTAACAAAACTTTCGTTTCTTGTAACGAAAAATCCGTACCTGGACGAAAAGTAAGTAAAGAGCGTGTAACCATACTACCATGTGCTAACGCTGCGGGCACACATGCGCTTAAGATGATGGTCATTGGGAAATCTAATAAATCACGGGCATTCAAAAACATTGATTTACCTGTACACTATTACGGACAAAAAAGTGCATGGATGACAAAAGACCTTTTCAAAAAGTGATTTGATGAATGCTTCATACCTGAAGTTAGAAAATGGTTAAAAGATCATAATTGTCCTTAAAAAGCGTTGTTGCTTCTTGATAACGCTCCCGGTCATCCGTCTGAAGAAGAACTAACAACTGAGGATAAATGCATCAATGCGATGTTTCTGCCGCCAAATTGCACTGCACTGATTCAACCAATGGACCAGAGTATCATTCAGTTTGTCAAGCAAGACTATAAGAAAAAGCTACTTCTGAGAGCCGTATCAAAAGACCAACCAATAGAAAAAACTTTAAAAGAATTTAATATGAAAGACTTGGTTTTTGCTCTTTGTCAGTCGTGGAATGCGTTACCGTCATCAACTATTAAATCGTCTTGGAAAAAGTTATGGCCAGATATAGTCACCACTCCTAGCAACGTTCCACAAATCAGTACGAGGTACTTCGGAAATTACAGAACAAGTCGCTACTGAAACACAGGTCTGGAAGATTTTGAAATCTGGTGCCGCGGAATGGATAAAGAGGAAAATGTTTTTCATGAAATGTCTGACGAAGAGATTATAAAAGAGGTTTCTAATTATACAACAAACAATCAGGAAAATAACGACGTCGTGATTGCAACTGCTCCACAAGTCACAGCACAAGACGCAATTAACGCCTTTGAGCTAGGTTTACAATGGGCAGAAGAGAATGGTACATCCTACAACGAACTTTTACTTTTGAGAAGACTGAGGGACAAAGCTCTGATCTCGCGTTATAACAACCTTAAACAAAACAAAAAAATTGATTAATATTTCCAAGCTTCATAATTTGATAAATTCATTAATGATTTTGATTAATATTTCTTGATTATTTTGGTACATATGTATGTGCATTTATGCTTAATTTTATAATAAAACGTAAGCTCTCTATTGTTATTTAATTTACTAAATTCGACATACATAAACTATGTATGATTTGTACTTCAAAGTACTTACATATACATAACTTATATAATCTTACCATTGGATATGTAATTTGTCGGATTACAAGGTACTCTTTTGTAAAATATTCCGGATTATAGGGCGTCTTAGGCAGTGCTCTATAATCCGACAAACTCGATAGTCCGACACTGCCCTGCATAATGTTTGTCGGATTACCGGAGGTCTACTGTACTTACCTTTTCGCTTTAGTATCTCGGTTGGGTCCATGATGCACCTCATATGAAAGCTTTCCTCTTCTTGTTCTTCTGTCAATCTCGCCCGACCACTGGTTGATTAAACTGGCAGGACATACAACGAGTGTGCCTCCTTTCCACTTAGCACCTGATTGAGAATCTTCTTTCGCACCCCTATCTTCTTCATCATGTATGTTTTCTAGTGATTTCATCGTCAGTGCTATCATTGTCAGGGTTTTGCCCAGGCCCATATCGTCAGCTTGAAAGATAAATAATTTTACTGAAAACTGGCTTAGATAGCATAGTCTAAAAGAAATTGGGAATAATCAATAAGTTTCCTATTATTAAATACTGGGCGTACAACCGCCTTAACAGTGCTGGGGGAAGTAGAGCTGGTAATTTGCGGCGACTACGTGCGGATTGTCTTTTTTTATATCGAAGCAGCTGCGCAGGCAGAAGCCTAAATGCCGGAACACCACGGCTGTTATGGTGATCCCAAAGAAATTTTGTGAATACAATTTCTGAACTGCCTAAGGTTATTAGTAGAACTGGGAAAAGCTTCCTCTTGTAGATTGTTCTACAATCTCGACACAGTCCAAGGAAAGAGGCTAGAGAAGAAGTCTCCGAGCCCCTCCCAGTCGGCATGTCCGTAATGCCAAGTTTTGCGGTCTGTACGAGTTTCTGCTGCCACAGCGGGTTCCGACCGAAACCTAACCTCAACAACACCGTGATCTGAGTTACCCAGCTTGATTCTGTGTACAACTAGCATTTGGGATCCCCCCTGAGAAAATTTGCTTCCCGCCGCTCTTCAAAAAGTTTTGTGGCAGCCACACTTTCATAAAAATTTGTATTTTGTAGCTGATCCCCTCCTGAGAAAAATTTCTGCGCACGCTCATGAGTGAATACCGAAAAAGATAAAAATTGACGTATAGTTTACCTAATATACCCCCAGAAGGTCTTTGTTCTTCTCTCCACATGAGCCATGCCAATGCTCTTCGTTGGTGAAGCATAAGGTCCACTTTTAATCCTTCTGGATCTTCAGCTAGATCTTTTTCAGTGGGACATGTCTTTAGAGATCCATGTAACTCATTCAAACCATCTATTGTAAGCGCTTTTTGTGCGTTGAAAGTGGACATAGCCTTTTGACCAAAAGTACGAGGTAACACCAGGTTAATCTTCATCTCAAGATCCTCTATTGTTGGAACATCACCTGATTCTATAACAAAAACAAAATGTAGACGATAAATGATCTGCCAGATGTTTAAAGAGTCTTTGAAGAAATTATTTACGAACAGATCATCGATATTATTGAGGGAAATAACATTTTAACCAAATTTCAAGCTGTATTCAGGAAGAAACAATCAATTGAAACAGCAACATAAATGGTTTTAGAGGAGTGGAAGTTGAATGGACAATTGGGAACATACGGTAACAGTGTTTTTGGACTTCAAAAGGGCATTTGAGACTATTCACGGGGATAAATTGCATAATTACGGATTTAAAGGATCTGTATTGAAAATTCTACAAAACTATTTAATTGACAGAAGTCAAAAAACCAAAATTGGATCTACATTATCAAAAAAATATTTCTGTTGGTATACCCCAGGGTAGTAAACTAGGTCCACTACTATTTATTTTATACATTAATGACATTTGTAATATTTAAGATTGTAAAATTCAGATATTTGTAGATGGTATATAAATATACATATCAGATGAAAATATAGACGCTGTTTTAAAAATGCTAAATTCTGACTTGGCAAAAATCATAAATTGGTTAAATGTAAATAAACTAAAATTGAATACTTATAAAACAAAATGTATGCTAATAGGGAGAATAAAAATACTATCACAATATATATTGACACAGTAAACTAAAGTTTGAGGATCACTATGAATAAATTATTTCAAAAGTTGAATAAAAATGTTTGCTGTTGCAAATGCCCTCATCCAAAAAATCGTACACAGATTAATTCGTTTACAAACCTTCGTGATAGAGGAAACATTGAAACGCGTAGATATAGATAGGTTTTGCAGGTAAATTAGAATTGTTAGTGCCAGTGATCATCCTTTTGATTTCACTAACGGACAGATAAACTTAGCTTTGACGGCATATCAGACTTGCCTACTACATTATTATACTCCTAGAGTACCGCCTTTGCATGGCGAATACTTAGTCTAGCTGTTATCAACATAGATCCCTAAGAATTTTATCAAGTTGATGTTCTTATTGCTGGTTGTCCTCAAGAGTTGCTTTTTGTACATATCTAAAATTCAGTTCAGAATCACCTTACAGACTAGATTCATTATCTGATGCTATGCGAGTAGTATTCTGGTAGGTTGTATGCAAGTGTCCATATTTAGCTAACCATAAATAACTATTCTCTTCATCTAGAATACAAACTTCCTACAATATTGCTATATCCACATTTTAGACACGTCTTTGTTTCTTTTTATTTTAGAAGAACATATGCTGGTGGCGTCCATCAGATTTTTTTTTTTTGAGGAAATAGTATAAAATCTGTATAATAATTCGCCAGAAATAATCAAAGTGATAACTGCATGAATGCAGGTTGGAAAATCCAGCTCTGCCCTAGAATGTGTAAGCTACAGTGAGATGATGAGTATCGGGCATAAACGGTATTAATAAACGAAAATACGAGGTATGTAAGTTAAGTGATGACACTGATTTTTTTTCAAGTATAATTACAATTTTATATTGTCACCCTCAAAATAACTTCCTTCTGAAGCCTCACAGCGGTGGAGACAGTTTTTTCACTCCTCATAGCAGTGCTGGAACTCCGGTACTGGAATATCATTCAGCTGGTTGGTTGCAGCCGTTTGAATGTTTTCGGCTGTCCGAAAGTGAGTTCCCTTGCGGTCATTTTTCAACTTCGTGAAGAGAAGAAAATCACAAGGACTCAAGTCAACCGAATAAGGAGGAATGATTTTACTGAACATTATCGTGATGCAACACGCAATTGTTCTTGATTTGATGACCGGTGATGCGAGTCAAATTTAACTCTTCTCCGACTGTCAACAGACAATCTGAACGCACATGATCGGATTCTGTCGATATTTTAACCAAAAAACCTGGACTCTTGACAAAACACTATTTCGATAGGCCCGTTAAGCAAGAGTTTCCGTTCCACTGTGCCTAAAGGTACCCATTCACATACAGTTCGCCTGCAGTTCTGGGACTGTACAACCTGCACTGAAGATTCAAACTTTCTCGAACCATACACTATTCAGTTATTTGAAACGGCGCGGCCTGCAGTTTTGAGACTAACAGATTCCTAACTGCAGGAAAACTGTGCCTTCCCACGCATACAAACATTTTGTCAGTTATGATCGGCCGATAGAACAACAATGTTGTTAACTAAGAGATTAAGAAAAAAAAGCTCGCAACACTTGTATTCTTATTATTACAAGAGCCAATAGCATAAATTAATAAATTCACTTAAAAACGTAGTACTACTGCTCGGTTTTGTCACTTTTCTGCAAAATGATGTAACATCTTCCAACACGTGTGAAGTTGGGCGCTGCAGATTCGACCTGTCGTCTTTACTCCACACACATCAGTCTATTGCGGGATTCATGTGGTCTGCAGGCTCAGACCTGTCGCCGGCCTGCATATGTATTGTCAAATTTTAACTGAAGATATACAAATCGACAGTTCTATACTGCCGGCGGACTATATGAGAATGGGTACCTCAAGTCTGAAGCAAAACCTGATAACACACAGTTGCTTGAAATTGTTGTCTCTCAGAAAAAACAATATCACAAAAAAATCTCTAGGGACAACCAAATGACCCTAGCGAGTTCAAGCTTGTACTGAAGGCGGATCACACGTTCCCCTGTCCCCCCTCCAAGCACGGCGCCTCCAGTGTTGCCAGATCGAACGCTACGTTGCCAGTCTCATCACTTAATTTCAATTTTCAAGGTTTAGGTATCTCAATATAGAAGTAAGTTTTACACCTTTAGTCTCGAAAATATCATATGCAGTCATTTTACGTATATGAGGCTCTATTGAAACTTACGTCTGTTAATTTCCATATTCGATAGTGTCCTTGCCTCTTTGAGCAGCTTTTGTTCCAATGAAGCTCTTCTAACTCTAATAGATTGTCCTCCATCTTCTAAAAGGTTAAGCTTCACGGTTCTCAATGTATTATTTATTACTTGGATATCAGATTGAAGTTTTTGTACTTTCTGACATTGCTCTCTATAAACATCGTCAGTAACTGTCTGAAAATGAATTTCATATAGCAATTCTTTATGTTTCTGCAAAATATCAATATTTTGTCTCCAGTATAATCCGACTTTTTCTATGATCGAGAAAATGCAAAACTAGTACTCCAAAGTTGAAACGTAAAATTCCCGCCAAGGTTGTAATGCAATAAGTTTTCTTACAATGTGACCCTACGTTTTCCACGATGAAATTAGAGGAAAATAATTAATTCCTAACGTTATCATTTTTGACGTTCGATCCTGAATGAAAATCAAATTTATTGGGCGGTACCAATGGAAAAGAGAACAGGATTCAAATGCGTTTTCTTTCGATGTACGAATTACAAATACGTTTTTTTGCAACACACGAGAAAAGATATGAATACAACTGCAGGATTCTTAAAAAATCCATTTCAACTATAAAAATGAAATTTTGACTAGGTAAAAAGTGTGCATTTCCCAGCAAATTTCATTCAAGTGAATCCTACCTATAAAGGACAGCTTGTGGCAGTAGAAGAACTGACTACAAAACAGCTGAGCAGTTTTGTACCATAGCTAAAAACCTTTCAAATAAAAAAGAAAAATCAACTTTGGTTCATCCGCGGAACCTATAATACTCCTATTTTGTATTCGGGGTTAAAAAAGAAACAGACATGCTTATAAACTGGAGAAAATCCATTAGATGAAATCACATAAAGGAATGATTTTTTATGGACGTTTCGGCCACCTTGGTAGCCATTTTTAAGGTACAAATAAAAATGACATTTGTACTTTTAAACACCACCAAGGTGACCAAAAAGTTAATAATGAGTCATTCCTATATATGAGGCTTAATTTAGCCATAAAACATGAAAACCACAAGATAAGTTTCAGATGGTACATTAGCAGTTTCAAGGTAGGGTTTATGTACCACTTGCCTATGCTGTATTGACACATTCCACCATTTTATACTACTACTCACCTCTCTATTATCAGTCAACATAGAAGATGGGTTCTGTTCAACAGAAGACGTGTTGATGGTGACTACAGATTCTTCATCATCACTGATCTGTACAACCTCACTGCTAGCATTGCAAGTATCTACAACTCCATCTTCTTTTGGAATTGGTGAAATAGGATACTTTTCTTCAGGTGTTGGAGATCGAGATACATCGGAAATATGTACACCCCCTGCATCCTCGAGGCTTGGTGAAGTTGTCTGAATTATATCTCTTAACTGTCTTGGAGTGGCAAAGGCATCATCAGGTAGTGGTTGTGGAATACGGCTTAGCTCACGAGGTTGGTCAGATTTTTCTGATGAAACTGAGCTAAAGTTAAAAGTTTGCTCCTCAGATTTTGATGATGAACCTGAGTTTTGCTCAATGGATTGGTCTAAAATATCATCTGAATTAAATGAGTCCTCAATTTCAGCCTTTACCGAAGACCTGCCGCGAACTGACCGTCTGGGTGGTGTCGGTGATGAGGTGACCACATCTTCATCACTTGTATATTCTGGACTTGATAAAATAAGTTTTTTGCCTTTTTTCTTTGTGTTCACGACGAATGAGACTTCCGAATCAGACGAATCTGTAAGTTCCGAAGAATTTTGAATTCTGGCGCAGAAATAGTAAAAAATAATCAATCATAACAATAGCATTCGTAACTATACTCTATGTTACAATTAAGTCGGTTGTATTGCATTGAACCTACATTCAGTAACTGCTGTTTTGATACTGATGATTTGGAAAATGCAAAAATATGTACTTTTACCTAATGGTGATACCACGTTCTCTTCAGTAAAAAAAAGTAAAACTATCGTGCGGTGTGTATTCAGACATCTATTCCAAAATTGAGGGATTGCTAGATGAATTTAAAAGCATTATTGCCGATCAGCAGCATGGTTTTCGTCAGGATAAGTCAATTTATACCATCTTGATGTTATACAGTAACTATTTGTGCAATTCAATTGATCAATGTTAGCAGGTAGACTCTGTTTATTTGGATTTTTCTAAAACGTTCGGTCGGGTTGACCATTCGATACTGTTGTCCGAACTTTACAGCTTTGGTATGCAGGGTCACCTCTTGAATCGGATAATACGAGCCCCTTTCCACTTCAGTTGGCCCAACTATTGAAATCTTAGTTTTTTCTTATCAAACACAAATAATAAAAATTTAGCAGGGTGTTATAGGTTTAAAATATTAACAATGAATATTTTGATAATATATAGTAGAAAACACAAACTTTATCACTCCCTAATCAAATTGGCAGCATAAAAATAACACATGTTGCAATTACAGCATATCAACCTATTTTCATTTCAATGCAAAATAAGTCTATAATGCATAGGTGGCTGTGAAAAATAAAAGCCATGACAATTGTATTTATTAATCATAGCTGTCAGAATACGTTTAAAATAGTTTTGGGTAGTTAAGGTTTTCAAAATGGGTAGAGGAAAGGTTATTAGTGAGAAAATTCGGTTACTGATAATTAATTTTTTTAATTCTGGGAAATCAAACTCAGAAATTGCAACTTTGTTAGACTTATCGCGGTACAGTGTGAGAAATATTGTTAGAAGATATAACGTAACTGGTTCAGTTAATATTAAGCCACGATATGTGAAAAAAAGTAATATCACAAATGCCGACCAAAGAGCATTAAGAAGAATACTCGTGAAAAACAGGCGTGCCAATTATTTACAATTAAGTTAAGTTAAATAAAAGAAGTGGACTAAACTAACATCATTAATAAAGTGTATTAAGTAACAACGGACCTAAATGGGAACCCTGCGGGACTCCAGAAGTTACACGAATACTGCGAGATGTACGCCAACCATAACTTACCATCTGAGATCTATCAGATGTACGAGCCCCTTCCCACTTCATTTGGTCCACTTCAAGATTTGTACCAAAATACGCCTTTATAAACTAAACATGACGAAACTATTTACTTCTAAAACAATTTATTTTCTCAAAAACATTTTAGATACACTCTGGTCGTAAAAAATACATATTTGAAATCACTTAGATATAACTAATAGAACATCTGAACAAATAACCAATGTGCCAATAAATGCGCGAAGTTAATAAAGCAACAATTGAAAGATTACCATTGGGTAACATCACCTTTATTTTTTATTACGGCTGAAATTCTTTGGGGCATAGTGTTAACCAAGTTTTGGCAAACATTTGGTGTAAAACAATTCCATATTTCTTGAAGCTTTTGTCTCAGTTCGGTGATTGTACGAGCAGGATGTTGCCGTAGAACCTTTTTCATCTTGTGCCACAAAGTTTCAATAGGTGACAGATCTGGACTGCTACAGTATATTCAGATAAGAGATAGACCGGATGTAAACAAAAGGTTCGGGTGATTTTCACGCTAACGCCGCCGTCTCGACGTAAAACAGGAGCCCTCATTGGTCAATTCGCAATTAAATGCCTATGCCGAGCGGCAGAGCAGTCGTATCAAGGCAGAGTCGCATTCAGGTTCAGACGTGTTACGTATGTCGTGTGCATCACTGCAATTTGATATTTCTTTGGACGTTTTCGTTTGTTATCTTATTAAGTTGTTGAGTTTGTCGTTGTTATTGTTATACCTTGTTATAATTATAGGCTAATTTAAACGCCATTTTGAGATTATATTCGACTGTATTTCACCAAATATCAGACGACATCCGAAGCTGGAAATCGAAGCGAAAATTTTGAAACCCTTATGTACATTTACATCATTATATATTTCTTACCCCACCCCCACATGATCCTATATCCATCACCAATCGTATACACATCGAATTGTGCTAATTTACTACAAAGTTACGCAAAGCAGCATCTACTATCTAAAATATGTACTGCGTGACTCTTAATACGTCCCTGCCGAATGTTACAGCGTTCGATGATCACGTGGTCTTGTTTATGTCCGGTCTATCTCTTATCTGAATATACTGTAGAAACCCATTACAAAAGTGGTATTATGACTGATTGATGATGATTCTTCTAAAATTGCCAAATATTTGTTTGTATCCACATTTCCATCAATAAAATGAAGTTTTCCTACTGCTTTTGATGACATACTGCCCCAGACCATAATGAATGCTGGAAATTTCACTTTCTTCTTCTTGTTCAGCAACTCTACTGCAACTCTCACCAACACAAACTTCGAATCGGGCCTCATCACTCCATTGTATTGCACACCATTGTTGAGGTGTCCATTGTTTATGTTCTTTAGCCCATCTAAGCTGATTTTTCTTTTGCAGTGGAGTTAATAGTGGCTTTTCTTTGGCCTATAAACAAGCTGTGCAACTTTAGGGTCTTTACCTCACTTTTTTTTATAAGAAAACTTACCTTGCAAGTGCTAAATCCCAGTTTGTGGGTCTCTCTATGAGTTGTGGACCTCAAAATTCTCCTTCCAACAGCATCATTCCACAGCACTTAATTGTAAATGATTGGCACGCCTGTTTTTCATGATTATTCTTCTTAATGCTCTTCGGTCGGCATTTGTGATATTACTTTTTTTCACATATCGTGGCTTAATATTAACTGAACCAGTTACGTTATATCTTCTAACAATATTTCTCACACTGCCACGATAAGTCTAACAAAGTTACAATTTTTCAGTTTGATTTCCCAGAATTAAAAAGTTTAATTATCAGTAACCGAATTTTCTCACTAATAACATTTCCTCTACCCATTTTGAAAACCTTAACTAGGTACCCAAAACTATTTTAAAGGTATTCTGACAGCTGTGATTAATAAAAACAATTGTCATGGCTTTTATTTTCCACAGCCACCTATGCATTATAGACTTATTTTGCATTGAAATGAAAATAGGTTGATATGCTGTAATTGCAACATGTTATTTTTATGCTGCAAATTTGATTAGGGAGTGATAAAGTTGGTGTTTTCTACTATATATTATCAAAATATTCATTATTAATATTTTAAACCTATAACACCCTGCTACATTTTTATTATGTGTGTTTGATAAGAAAAAAACTAAGATTTCAATAGTTGGGCCAACTGAAGTGGGAAGCAGCTCATATATCAAAATGTAACTCCAAAATAAGGTTTCAATTTTAGCTTGATATATACCAGTGAGAAACACACATAGCTGTAAATTGCTTTTGAGAAATAAGGGACCATCCAAAAATGCAAATATAATCTTAATAACAGCAACAGTAGCTGAAATAATCCAGAGCAAATCACTCCACCAGTACTCGGCCGAGCACCCTGTAGTTGGCTTTTTTAAAAAGTAGTGTTTGGTGCATATCTATTGGGCAACAAAGATAGATTTAATATTGGAACGAGTATTACAGAATCGTGCCCCTGTTACCTATATGTGTTCTAACATCAAAATTTAAATGTGTTTCAATATAAAGTCGGTTCATTAGTACATGTTTATCATGAAAAGCCATCATACTGAACTGATACAATTAAATTAGTTTATGGATTTATTCAACGTATTTTTTGTTACTGTTTCCTTACCATCAGACATGATCCTTTGTAGTTTAGAATCCGCTAATTAGTTAATGGATGCTGAAATGGGTGATGATTAGACACCAACAGACTAGCTCTTCGTTCATAAACTCTATATCGAAATAGGCTTGTTTTTTTGATATGATCTCAGCCATATACCTATTCAAAAACTATAGGTAAAAAATTGACAAAAGACAAAAAACGCTTAAATAACGAATTATCAACAAAATTCAAATTTGAAGGATAGATTTGACGGATATGTGGCATACGACTTGCTCTTGAGTGTTGCTAACCACAGAACACATAACACTAATCAAATTCAAGCGGATAACCAAATGGAAATGGTATTTACCATTTTGGGTTGGTATTTACCAATCCGTTCAAGCGAGTGTAGTTATCAGTTTGGTTATAAGATCCGTGACGTCACGAATCAGCTGTTATATGTCATAGTTATCACCGCAAAATTGTGGTATTTACCCAACTCAAGAGTAGTTTTATATTTCTGGTTATTATTTGAAATGTGACAAGTTAGAATTTTGCCGGGTATTGGATATTGTTATTGTATTTCAGCTTCATTTTTGAGAAAAATGATACAGGCTGACTTCAGTTTTACCATAAAGTGGAGCACCTTATTAGTTATACTCATTATGGTTGTTGGGGACACTTTAAATGTAGTTCCTATGCTTAACAAAGTATCATTTGTAGCCATATAGCACAAGGATATTAAAATATGGCCATATAAACTCACTAGATGATATCCACCTGTATACGGTTTTGCTAATTTCTTTTACATATGCTGAAGATACTTTTTCTTGCATCGGAAAAATTTAGAATTGACAAGTTATCACACTACAAAGTGCTCCATTATGTAAAAAAAAAAGCATCTGTAATTTCTCAAAAAATGAGCTTGCCATAACAATACCAAGTAACCGGCAAATTTAACTTGTCCATTTAAGATAATAACAGAAAAACAACGACTCTTGAGTGGGTAAATACCACAATTTGCGTGATACGGAATTAAAATAAACACTTGCATTCGTACGCACGGATCTTATAACCAAACTCTAAACTACCTCGTGAACGGATCGTACATCCAACCCAAAATGGTATACTTTCCATTGGTATTCCGCTTGGATTTGATTACTGTTATGGCCATCCATCTCTCATCACTAGATCACTACAATAGCCTGTCCTGTGGATTTCCTAGGTTATGTTGTATTCGCTATTCTGCTTGTTTTTTGGCGCCTTTCTGCTTGATGTTTGGAGGCTGATTTTCTAAATACTTTTAAGGGTTTGCAGGCTGGCATATTGTGGTGTATTTTTCATTTAACTGCATTAAGAAAGTAATTGAAAAATGGGGGTAAGTAGCAAATAATAGAAGTAATATTTGGGTAGTGATTGTGGCTATTATATGTTGCCAAATATTTCTAGCTTCAGAGAGTAAACTATTTGGACATTGGCTATTCCAGAGAACTTTGCTTGTTTGTCTGGCCTAGTCAAAAGACAATGTTTAAAATCTCTCTTTATTGTAGGATGTACCGGGTGCACCATCTTTTATGTCGGTATTGAAACATCAAATGACTGATATTTACCAACCGAGTGATTTGGTTATACGTGCTTCTGAAACGTCAATTTACTACAATTTTAGTCATGAACGCTTTACACCGACACAACGCGCCGAAATAGTCACAATGTACATTGAAAATCGTCATTCAGTTGTGTTAACGCAACGTGCATATCGACGAAAATATCGTGGCAAACAGCCACCGTCTGACAACACCATTGGACAGCAATCCGTCGTTGTATCGAATTTCTTGAGTATGGAATGGAGATCGTCAAACCAGATCAACGCATTCTCATCCGCGTTTGTATCCGAATTTTCCCTTGACGTATGGGACAATGGGGTAGGAATCGTCAACATAAAACCGTTCATCAACGACTAATCTCTTGTAGTCAGACCACCCAGACGTTCTGATGAATTAGTTGATAGTCAGAGAGTAGAAACAGCCTTGGCCCAGAACCCAAAAGTGTTCGTATATCGTCAAACACCAGCGTCAGGCATTTTTGGTTTCAACCTGAGGTTCGCAAACCACAAGATTGCGGCCCATAGTCCACCTGAAGGATTGATTTTGCATTTTTGTCTTTTTTTTTTTTTTTTTAATATAAGGTGCAGCGAACACAAAAAATATTGCAAACTGACCATCCATGTAAGCTTGGAATATGCCCAAACAGTTTGCTCGCATGGTTGTGCTGAACCTGATTTTTTGAAGCAAATTTTGATGATCGGACGAGACCCATTTCAAGCTTCTCTGGCGGCGTTAATTAAGCAAAACTGCCGCAATTGGGGGACGTAAAATCCACATGAGATCATGAAAATGCTGTTACATGACCGGAAAGTGACTGTTTGGGCCGGCGTTTGCGCCAAAACCATCATTGGGCCATGTTTCTTCAACAAAAACGTCAGTGGAAATCGATAAGTGGATGTTGGCTCATTATGTCTGCCCACAAATGTGTGAAAAAGGTCTTGATGGTTACTAGTTCCAACAAGATGGTGCGCCATACCACACTGCAAATAAAACAATCCAGTTTCTGCAATGAAAATGCCCTGGATGCCCTGTCAAAAAGAGGTGACATTGACTGGCCACCCAGATCTCCAGATTTGACCCCACCGGACCTTCTTGTGGGTTTATTTGAAAATTCAAGTGTATGCCAGCAAGCCCCAGACCACTGAAGAACTGAAGGCAAACATTCATACCGCAATCGCCACTATAGCACCAGAGATGCTTGAAAGAGTAATGGAAAACACTGCAAAACTGGCACATTTTGTTTTGGCCAATAAATGTGATCACTTGATAGATGTTGTGTTCAAGAACCAGTCCCAATAAATTGTAAAGGACCATATTTATTAAAATACCTGATATATACAAATCAGTTATTTCATGTTTACATACCGACATAAAAGATGGCGCACCCTGTATCAGCCCCAACAGTGACTTTATTCAAGTACTTAAAAAATCATATGTGGCTTGATTTGGCAAGTCAAATATGGATAATTATCAGCATGAAAACCACATGATAATTTTCCTTATTATTACATGATAAATCATATTGCTTCTTTTTTCCTTTGCAGAAGAAATCTGGAAGTACTAGTAAAAGCAAAGAAAAGAGGTTACAGAGGAAGGAAGAACAGCTGCGGATTGGAAAAGCTATGGCTATAGTTGCGGAAGCAAATAAGCTAGTAGATCCATTGGAACCATTCCCAGTATTCAGAAAATTCAATAAAAATGGATTAAGTGTTGAACTGTTTGTGAACAGGTCTACAGATATAGAAAATGAAGTTAAGCAATGGGCTTTTGAGCTAACTAAGAAAAACATGCAGTTGAAGTAAGTTCCATGATCAGCTCTCCAAATATTTGTCTTATAAAGCCTATAAAGCTTATTGTGCAGCAATGATGATGTGCATTAAGAATATCTGATAAAGAATTTCAAATGCATATAACTAGATACATCTCAAATAAATATTTTAAATTTGGATATTTTATTCAACTCACTTCTACTGACATGTGTAATATACTGAAAATTTCATTTTTTGTAGATATGAACAATGTTCTTGGGGTTGGAATGACAAAACAAAAGAGGAAGAACTATTTGATGAAGCAGCCTGGTACCTTGTTGCAAAAAATGTAGAAGATGGAAAATTATTAGGTTTCTCACATTTCCGTTTTGACATGGATGAGGGTTTAGAAGTATTGTATTGGTAAGTTTATACCCTATGGAACAATATAAAACAATTTTTATAGCATAAAACTGATAAACTTTTTATTTTTAGCTATGAACTACAGCTCGATAGCTTAATTCAAAGGAAAGGATTAGGAAAGTTCATGATGCAAATACTAGAACTAGTGGCATTCAAAAACAATATGAAAAAAGTAATATTGACTGTACTTAAGAATAACCAGTATTCAAATTTCTTCAAAAACATAGGGTATGTATATACATCATAGTCTCTTAACAGGAGCATAATTGTCAAATCTTTGAAACATTTTTTCATAAAAAATGTCAGATTTCCTATTGAAAATTGCAGTTTTAGTAGTCTTGCTTGAGAATAAGTATGAACTAAGACAATGCTTATCAAAATTTATCTTCTAGGTATGTAGTTGATGAAACTTCTCCTGAAGATGACCCAGAAGAAGATGAATACTACCCTTATGAGATTCTTAGCAAAGTAAACAAAAGACTGATGCCACCTACAAACACAAAACCTAGTCATGATGTACATTGCTGTAGTGGACATTCTCATCATCATTAAAATTGTTAGATTGACAGAGTTGTATTTAGATACATTGACTGGGATTGTTCAACTTCAGTCTTTTTTTTCAGGAACATGTTCAAATTCATTTAGGAAGCACACTGATCTGAAATCAGTCATATACCTTGTCAAATTTTAGGCATATTTCTACTGTTTGGAGATCTCATTCAAAAGTTGTAAAAATTTTATTAACAGTTACTGGTGACTTTTCTTCTTATAAATATATATAACTGACAATTGCTTTTATACTTAAACTAGCTGCAAAATAGCCAGTATCTATTTTTCGTTGTTATGTTAAAAATAGGATTCATTCTTCCCTTACATTTTAGGTGCTTCTAAACAGGCAATATTCATACTTTTGACATTTCCAACCTATTTTCATATATTGGCCAGTTGCCAAGTTATTGTAACCCTGCTTAATGTAGTATAATGTGAGTAATGTAAGCTGCTGTGATTGGTAATTATTTTGTCAGTCATTCTTGCCTGATTTTATAGTCCTAACGAAAAATTCTAACCAGGTAACTGTATGTGCATTGCAGACAATATTGCTAAGTTATAGCTGATATACCTCAGACATATGGCTGGGTCACAAGGATTGCCTGTTTGGAGGCTCCATCAGAACTGATTTTTGGCAATACTTTAACATTAATTATCATATATGAAAGAAGAGTACCCTAAAATCACAGAAAAAACCATAGGATGCAGTTAGTGTCTGTAGTTCATAAATTAAATAAACTTTTATCTTGAACATCTATGATCTCATGCAGTAAATACCCCTAACAGATTTTAAGACAAATAATATTCTAATGGTTAATATCTATAATGTCAATTTTTAGATAGAACATATATTGATAAGATTATTTTTGAATTAGGTTTGATGCAATTCATTTTTTTGCTGAATTTGTCAGTAGCTTTTGAAAATTGTAATACATATCTGTTCATAGAATCATTTAATTTTTTCTGTTGTACCTTTATATTTGTCAATATCTAGTTTTAACTGTATTATTGGTTAAATGATAGCTGTCTCAGTTTAAGATTTTTTATTTGAGAAACATTTAAAGCACATAAATAATAGCATCAGGAATTATATTACAATCTAGAACACATCTATAGTATCGATTTATTTAAAGTGGACCTCCATTATTAATGACTGCGATTTCTTCATCACTTAGTGGCTTTCTTCGCCAACGTTGAGGTATCTGGAAATCATAAATGGGTTCCCCAGATGTTGGAGCCCCCTTTTGCTGGTCCCCTCCTAAAAATGTTAGAAATGTGTTTAAAACAGTTGAGAGATAGCTAATATACTGACAAAAAAAGGTAGTCACCTACATATCTTTATTAGAATTCAAGAATTTTTTACGTATCGATTTATCTTGCCATGAACAACAATGGATGAAATGGTCAGGTTTTTCTGTTAAGTTTCTGTGGTGGCTGCGTGTATTGTTTGGTGATGAGGAAACATTCAGTTTTCACATTTACCATGTCAGTTGAATGTTAAATTTCGTGTAGCTTATTGAAAAGCCATTTTGTGATTGCTAAAAATGCCTAGAGTGCGTAGAATTCGCTGCGTGTCCCAACTAAGTCACTTTGAGAGGGGTCGAATAATTGTTGGCTTGCGTGAAGCTGATCTATTGAAGAGAAGTTTCTACGAGGACCAATATATCTTTACGCAGTACACTGGTGGACTCAGGAATGACGAGGACAATGAGTGAGGGGTTCTGGATGTCCCAGAGGGGCCACAGAGCGTCAAGACCACCGATTAAGACTTCTGGCTATGAGAGACAGATTCAGTAGTACTCAAGCCATCGCTAATCAGTGGTTTGAAGAGCATTTAAGGATGGTTGGTCTTATTCATGAAGTGGCAGTAGCCTGGAATTAGATACCCCAACAGGATATCCAGCACTATGCCCAGGCGTGTCAATGAGTATATAAGAAATCCTGAATCCTCAACACATTATTAAACTAGCTTCTGCCGTCAGTTGACGAATCAAGCTGCAAATTTAATCATTTTACTAGTAAGTGACACTAATATATATGCCAAAATTATTAAAATCGGATAAACATACGTAGGTGTTTACCTTGTTTTGTCACTCAGTATACTCGAAGATGTATTGATTCTATTATTGGAAGAAAGATGCACCTGAATGTTGTGCAGATGAGGTTTGTTGATCTCTTGCTGGTCCATAACGAAATTTTATAAGCCTGGTCCTTAGCTGTGGTGTTCTGGATATAGATCTGGTAGTAATGTAGCTCAACATACCGATATTGAAATTAACAAAAGTGTTTATTCCAGAATTAATTACAAATTTTATGATATAACCAGTTATGTCATGTTGTGTTTTTATCACGTTTTAAATTTGGGGCAGATCGATGATCACATTTTGAGTTTTAATGTCATAAAACATACAGAGCTGTGTGTGATCTAGATTGCTTTGTTGTGAACATTAGGCATTAACTCTGATAGTTGGTGAGTAGAAAATGGGGCGTGGTCTCACTAATGATCTACTAGTGTCACAGCTACGTCAACGTTTACCTTACTTGTCAAGGCGTGTGTCAAAGCCACCTGAGGAAGAAGTAAATAAAAAGTTTGGGCTTTTATCAATGTTCTTGGTGTTTTATTAATATTTTACGTATTTGGCTATTGAGTTTATGTTGGTTTTAATCTATAGTGTGTCATAGTGAAGATATTACAATGTCCAAAAACAAAATAATGAGAACCATTGTTGATGGATCTAAAATTGAAGTGAAAAGCAAGGTACGTATGTCCTGTAAAGTTGAAACGATTTTATAAATTCAAAGCAGGTTGAACTCAACTGTAAAGTTCAAATAAGCACCAAATATGGATATACCTTCTTGTTCAAGCTGATAATGGATATCAGACGTATATTTTTATACAATAGAAACTGACTCCATAACAAATGATGCATGAATCATTATATTGGTATAATGCAAGCTTTACTTGTAATTAGTTTCAACTAATAGCTACCAGTGAACATACTTGCAACGTGCGTGCCTGGTACACACCACAACAATGATTTATTGTAATGCTAGATATTAATAATTTGATTTTTGAACTTCATTTGTTGGTTTTCGCTTTCATGGTTTTTTCAGAAACCACAGTCATGCCTCAATTTTTTGACAGACCAAAATTTGTTATAATTTTCTGACTTGCACAATCTGCAATACATACCTAATCTAATGTTTTATGTTAGTAACTTTATGAATTTTAACAGTTTGGTCATTCATGTCTCGATGACACTGTGACGTATATTTTATAACAGTGTGTAATACATTGTAATCATGCACTGTTATTTTGAAATAAAGCTTTATTATTATTATTATTATTATTAAGGACAAGACATTGACTCTGAGAAAATGGATATTTTCATGAAGACTTTTATCATTGAGTGTGAATAGGCCTTTCCAGAAAAATCCTAATAAACAGAACTCTAACAATAATTATAAAATACAATGGCTTATTGAGGAAGTGAGAAACTGTTGAGAGTATTTGCATCTACTGATGAGGATAAATAAACAAATCCTACCATTGTTAGCAACAGTGATCTAGAAAATTTTAGAGCCAATGACTCTCATATTAAAAACTGTAGCAATACTCAGAAAGCTGTGTGGGTTGTTATAAAAAATAACAACCAGCTAAAGGCTACCAGCTCACTATTTAAGTTATCTTCAAAAGATTTCAATGACTTCTTTGTAGATCTACCAAAAAGAATTACAGATAAAATCCAAATTCGAAAGTTTACATAAACACTTACATGAATAACATCAATTGTTCAACAAAATTTACATTCACAGAAACAACAATCTGAATTCTAAGATAATAAAAACGATTAAAAATCTTATTGCATGTCCTTTATGTAAAATCTTAAATGAATGCATTGCAACCAGTACTTTTTCTCAAAGTCTAAAGGTTGCTATAGTAGTACCAATATACAAAAAGGGTAGTTTGGATGATGTGAACAATTTTTTACCAATATCTATTGTTCCCGTCATTGCTAAAATTGTTAAATCTATTTTGAATAAGCAGATAGTTAGCTACTTTGAGAGCAATAGCTTGTTGAATTAATGCCAATTTGGATTCCATAAGGAGAGATCTACAACATTAGCTATAGTACAGCTGGGGGAATACATTCCGAGACCTTTAAAAAGGGAAACATCGCTAGTATAACTTTTTTTGAACCAACAAAAGCTTTTGACTATGTTTCCCATGTTGTACTGATGGCTTTGATAATGAAAATTTTTACCTAGATGACATATCACAGTATGTAGCACTGAACAAAGAGAAGTCAAACATTCAGATGGTTAGGTTAGTGGTACCCCAGGGCTCCATTCTGGGTCCCACTTTGTTCATTATTTTTATCAATGACATCTTCAAATACAATATTCAACATCTAGTGCTATATACTGATGACACTGCATCTATCTGCAGTGGAAACAAACTTGAAGATCTTCACCAACAAATTGCAATGAATGTTGAACACAAGACTGGTTCTATGCAAATAGACTAGCCTCAAAAAAAGACAAAACACAAACAATGGATTTCTCATTAGAGTATTTTGGTAATATCTACGTAAAATCTCTTTGCTTTTATCTGGACAGTTGCTTGAACTGGGAAGATCATGTCAATAACCTGACCACTAAACTTGGAAGAAGTTTCTTTGCCCTTCGCAATCCAGTTAATTGTGCGTCTCCGAGTCTTGCAAGCTTATTTACTTTCACTCCGAATATGGTCTACGGAAGATTGTTGTGGGGACACTCCTCGCATGCTTCTAGAGGTTTCGCGATTCCTGTGTTGACGCATTTATCACAATGGGTATTTTGACCTTAACTTGTACATATATCTTGGAATGCCTCGAGTATGTCAGGGGATATATAAGCAACTACAATAGAAACTTGGACTTTCGTAGCTACCAAATCAGATTTGGCAAAAATTCATCAGTTCTGTATATAGTAGGGTGCAGAGAGCTAGAGAAGGGCATTACTACTATGGTATTAAGTTTTACAATGTTTACCAGAATCAGTGAAGTCCTAACATTTTAAGAAGGCACCCAATGGATACTTAATTAGGAAAGCCTTTTATAATATATCCGATTTTATGGACAATGATTTTAGTGATCTATTTTAATGTCTTGTATTTTTTATTAATGATTCTTTGACCTCGTATTTTATGCGAATTTTAAATCTACCGGTTTTCTCTTTCTGACTTGTGTAAATGCTATTGCATATACAACACCAATTAGTATCATGATTATTTTTATTGCATGTAAATCTTTATAAGTATCTGAATGATATTGGTTATAGGACTATATTAGAGAAGTAGCACCTAGTAGTAGTGTAGTAGTAGTAATGGTGGGGAGGAAAGACCTAGCAACATCTTTGATCCTTTCTGTTGTACCAATACTGTGTTACTCCACTTGCTTATCTACTGAATTAAGGCATAAAGCAATATCAGCGATGTGATGTACCTGTTTGATTTTGTACTGATCTGGTGCATACATATATAGACAAACACAACATTCATGGCTTGAAATGTAACTTCCAATACAAACCTGTGAGCCTTCAAGCTAATGTGCAGCTAAAATAATAACATGCCAAGCTGCCCAGGTTCCTTATTTTTGAGAAAGTAATAAACCTATGTTGTTGAATTGTAGTTACTTGTATATTTCAAACTAGGTGTTGGGAAGCATTTTCTTTCTCTACATAAGAGGTATCTTTAAATATTGAGTAAAGTAACATTTATATGGCTATTAAATAAATATCGAAAAAATTAGGAAATTTGACAGGCTTTGGCTTGCACTGTGTGACTTTATGTAAAACTTGACTTAAGAATACCCAGTATGGTATATCCATCATATCCAAATCTACATTTGATGAAGAATCATATTTTTGCAATAGTGCCATAGTTTTCTGTGCGATTCAGCAAAAAGTATCAAAAAGTTTGTCATTATCAAACTGTGGCAAGTATACTGAAATTTTGTTCATCACTTATTCTGCATTGCTTAATAGATAATTAGATTGTGGATAAACTTGGCATATGAATTCTAATGAGGGTAAATTATAATTTATAATTATTATATTATAAATTATATAAATGTGCAAGGAATTTTTTGATCCAACATTTATCCTTCTACTAACTTATTTCACTGTTTCAGTTTGATGCTGAGTTTCGAAGATTCAGTGTAGACAGAAATTCTCAGATTAAATTTGAGGAGTTCAAAAGTCTCTTAGAAAAGCTACATGCCTTAAAGGATATTTCATTTTTAGTATCATACATAGATCCTAGTGATCAAGATCTTCTACCTATCAATAATGATGACAATCTGAGAAGAGCATTAATGAATGCAAAACCATTATTAAGAATAATTGTTCAAAGAAAAGGTATTGCATGAGACATAAGATTTTTTCTATTCATAAAAACCTATATTTCAATATTTTAGGTAATAGTTTGGAAGATCTAAATGGTTATGGAACTCTTAAACCGCGCAATCTCATATCTAGCATACTTGGAGGAACACCAGCTCGCACAAAGACTTTACCTATTTCCAATCCACATGATTTCCGACAAGTGTCTGCTATCATTGATGTAGACATAGTTCCAGAAACGTGTAGAAGGGTTAGGTTACTAAAGCATGGATCAGACAAACCATTGGGGTTTTATATAAGAGATGGAACAAGCGTTAAAGTTACACAAAATGGTAAGTCCATCTCTCAGAAGTGAATATTTATAACAGGTCACGCTGATAGTACAGAACAGTTACATAGACCAGTGTTTCTTGAGGAATACCATACACCATTCAATACTCTACTACAACACTTCAACATATCGGCGTCCGCAGGAATTTTTCTCAGGAGGAGCTGATCGACAGCAAGAGATAACTTGTTGTGAAAGTGTGCCTACCCTGAAAACTTTTTGAAGGGCAGTAGCTTAGCAAGTTTTCCCAGGGAAGGGAGTGGCAAGTCCTCAAAGTTGTGCATAAAATCATGCTAAATATCCACATTTTATGTTCAATCAGGGTCCAGAACGAGAGGGGGGTTTATGGCCCCATAGACATTTTGATGAATATTTAAGTGCATGTTTGTATTAATTTTGTGCCATGGATCTGTTGAAATTCAATAGCATATGAGAATAATTTCCACTAAATATTTTTCATAGTCTATGCAATTCTTATCTGACTTAAAATGTAATTGTCATTGTCAACTATATGGTTTAGTTCATTCTGATTGCGTACTGAAACGGTTTTAATTATTTTATGCAAAACAAGTCACACCAAAGCGTCGGCATCAGTAAAAAAGTAGAAAGTACTAAACAGTACGAGGTACGCATCTACCACTTGAGATATGTTGAGTCATAAATAATCAAACGTCTCTGTTGTCACGTTTTGACGTGTTTAAGCATCATAGTACATAGTATATGCTAATTGCTAGTAGAACCTCAGTCATAACACAGTTATTATTTTTGGTGTTGAATATGTCTCTATCAACCACCACTCATCACCTGAACGTCCCGCAGTCCAGGCGAGATTTAAATTTGCGTTTCGTGACATATCTTGCACCTAAATTTTACAATTTGATTCCTGCTAATATCAGGAATATTGAAAATAATAAAAAATTTAATGTTTCGTTGGGAAAATCGTGAACAATTTATGCGTTTATTTTAAGTTGCTTTGAGGTAGATTGATCTGTCTATTTGTTTCTTTCCTTTCTTTTTGATATAATTCTAAATCATAGTGTCTATACTGTGTTTCATGTTTTGTTGGTATTGTAGAGTGATTTTATACAAAAATATATATTGCACGCTATTTATCAATTAATAACTGTTTTGGACTGTTTTTGCGCATACAAGTTTTTAAACTTAGGTGCTCATATATTATAGAGAAACCTTGTTTTTGTTTTATTAATGTATAGATATATATTATTTTTCTATTGGTAAATTTGGGTTTTGCTGAATAAATGTGGTATAGTTCAGGGCGTACTGTTATCTCCAACAACAACAAAAAAATACTCAATGTAATTATCTTTTAGGTTTGGAAAAAATCCCAGGAATTTTTATCTCAAGGTTAGTACCTGGCGGTTTGGCAGAGTCTACAGGTCTTTTGGCAGTAAATGACGAGGTCTTAGAAGTAAATGGTATTGAAGTAGCAGGAAAAACTTTAGATCAAGTTACTGATATGATGGTGGCAAACAGTTCTAACCTTATTATTACAGTAAGTATTGTAGTTGATAAGTTTTTTAAATCAGTTGACAGGCATGCCAGTACCAATTATGAATGCTGTGTAACAAATTCTTTCATTTTTTCTAAGGTGAAACCTGCCAACCAAAGGACTGTGGGTCCACCAAGAAGAGGTAGTTTTAGTAGAAATTCACAATTGTCTACAGGCTCACATCAATCAAATACAACTGGTGGGTCAGATCCTGAAGATAAATATGATCAGGATGAAATTGTAGACTTAACAGGTATACTATTAGGAACAGTAATATTGACATATCAGTTTTATCATTCGATTGAACACTTTTGCTGCTTGCAACCTGAAGTTAAGCTACATGTTGAATAAAAATGATATTGTTTCAGGTGTGCATTTGGAAGACAGCACTCCAACGATTACTACAAAGGACGACGGGATTTTGCACTTATGAATACTATATAACAGCTCACACTCAACAGTACATTCCATGATAAAAGGCAATTATTTTTACTTAATTTAGGTTCTCTATGAGACTATAACCCACAGTATTTCTTTTTTCATTTCATGTTAGATACACATATGCTTGCAACGTCTGTATTGTTCGATGTCTTAAAATAGACATTTCCATATTCCGAAAAGTCTGAAGTTTTGGAAATTGGCCACTAAATTCAGTCAGCTGTCACTATCCGTAATTCCGTGGAAAAAGGTATAGTGAAAGCAATGCGGGGGAGGGGATAATGTAGAAAAACGGCGCTAATTATCTTAGGGATCATATGTGAGGTTATACTCGTACACAGACAAATAATTATGTCAAATGCAAATCAGCTGTTTACGTCTATAGACGTCAAACCGTGATAAATATTGTGCGTTTATACCACTCCATGCCAAAAGGTGGCGCAGTGTAAACATTTGTAAAAATGACCATCAATTTTTTCATCTTTGGTTGAGCGTTGCCGTTTATTGACGTAAATATGCTTTAGATGGTTCAAAAGTACTTACTAGTCCATGTGGTGGCTACATAGTTAAGTTCGTCATTCTTGTTGATAGTCCATATTATTTGGGATATCAGGTAAATAATGTAATTCAATCATATTTTCCTTATAACTTGTTACATTGTAAAGAAGTTTAAAATTCATTCCAAAATGCTGAAATAAGAATAGATATTGGTCGTTATCAAAACATTGAGTGATCAGTGACATTAATATATTTACGCAAACGTGATAATTTTTTCATGTCAAGGTCAACAATCACTAGACTAGAGATGTAAGTTCCATTCGACCAATGACTATCGATGCCATTTTTGCAAGGTTCTACTTTTCCGTTATTTTTTCGTATTCTCGATTTCACAAAAAGAAGTTGAAACATGAAGTTAGGTTTTTAGTGTACTCCTAGAAACTGTATTTCGTGAAATTCTGAGCAGTACAAAAATGAGTAATTGAAACCATGTTTCTCAAATAAATCTAGTAATTGGATCCCTGGTGTATACATAGTGATTATGAGACAATTCTGAGTGTATACATATTTTTCTTGATTTTATAATTCAGCTTTTTTAAATTGATACCAAAAACATATGTTGTATTTTTACCTGTATATGTCTTATATACCTTTTTATTTAATCGATTAAAGTACTTAAACATTTTTTTAAATATTTTACATTTAAGATAACCTTGTATTGTTGATAGTTTTGTTAAATATTCCGAGATTGTAAGATCATTATATCATGTACTTAATATTTTTAGTGATTACAGGGTGGTAGCCATTATTTGTGGTGGATAGCAATATACGTTAACATTTTAAAATTAAGGATAAGCAAGTGATCGAATATATTTCCATTTCTGCCACAAGTATATTTTTGCGGACACTGCATTTATAATGCTATATAATTTAGTTGGAAATTATCCCGTTATTCCACCCTGTATATATTAATTTTATAATCCTGTTATTCTATTGAAAACTCGAATGTTCATAGTTTATAGGCGAAAATTTTAAATATATTTTTTGTACCAATCAATTATTACACTAAAAATGAAAAACAGTTTCATGTTTTATTTCCATGTTGTGCTGTAATTACTACTAATAATCCTTACTAATACTTGGTGGCCAATATACAGGGTGACTTCGAAGTTGAGTCATTTATTTTAACAGTGAAGTAGATCTGATCAAAGAAATGCTTTTTTCCTTTACCATTTTTCTGGTAAAATTAAAGTAACAAAGTTATAGCCCTTTGGAAGTTTGAGTACCGCCCTGTCTCAATCATAATATTATGTGCTCGTGTTTGGCGACAACGGATATAATCCGCCTTATCGGTTCATCGCATCGGAAACAAAAAAGCGAAAGAATTTGGAACGATGTTTTTACAATTATTTTATTCCGTTGTATACAGTCAGTGTCAGTCGGTAACGCGTGAGTGAATAGTGGTGTCTGTTGCGTGGCTCAAACGAAATCAAAAATGACACATGTTTATGCGGATCGGTTTCCCAATCGAGTGCAACCAACCCCTCGTGCCTTTGTTAATGTAGTACAACGGGCTCGTGAATCAGGTGACTTAATACCTCACAGGCGACGGCATGCCGGTGCTCCAAGACCTCACGATCAAATACAGGTCCGCACTGAAATACTTGTCGGGAGGATACTTTATAAAACAAGCTAATTTTTTTTTTATTTTTACACACATATTTTGGTTTAACTTCCTTCTACAATCATTATCTGAAAATTAATGACTCAACTTCAAAGTCACCCTGTATAACTGGCTGATTTAAATTGCGCGCCATTTTTGATACACGCATTTCAGTAGATGGCGCCATAGTAGTTGTTTAAAGCACATGTGTCCAATTCATCATGAAGCGCTGCAGGATCCCACAACGCGTTCGTATTGCTGAAACGTTGTACTATAATAAGTCGATTGTTGCAACCATTTGGAAGCTAGGACAAGATTTCGGTCGAAATAATGTGCCCAGAGTCAACACGATTCGTCAGTTGGTGCGGAAATTTGAACAAACAGGTGAAGTTATAGACTTGCCAAGGTCAGGCCTTGTTCGAACCGTTCGTACTTCAGAAAATATCGAGAGAGTTTGTGAAAGTGTAGTGGAGTGCCCTGAGACGTCTACGAGACATCGTTCTCAAGAACTGGGTATTCGTCGCACGTCATTATGCGCTATTGACTTGCATTTGCGGCCATACAAAATTCAGTTAACCCAAGAACTACAGCCTAGTGACCATGGAAGTCGCCGACAATACGGTCATGCAATATTGCAGCTTAATATCCAAAATAACGATCTTTACCGACAACAGATAATGAGCGATGAAGCCCACTTTGGTATGAACGGATTTGTTACTAAGCAGAATTGTCGTATCTGGGCATTAGAGTACCCTCGTGTCATCCATCAACAACCACTACATCGTCGACGATGCACAGTTTGGTATGGAGGTGTGATTGAACCTTACTTTTTTAAGACGCTGCAGCTAATTCTCTTAGTCACTGGCGAGCGCTACCGTGATACGGTGCAAAACTTTCTGGCTCCTCAAATGCAACAATTTAACCTTCAAAACGTAGTTCCAGCAGGACGGAGCAACCTTTCACACAGCTAGGGAAACAATGAATCTTTTGTGAACAATATTTCCGAGACGTTTAATTTCTCGATTTGGTGAACTCAACTGGTCACCGGATTTAACGGCTGTTGACTTTTTTATGGAGATTTTCGAAAAATAGAGTTTATGCCAACAAACCGAGTACTGTATAGCAGCTGAAGAATAATATTACGGAAGCGACTGAAAATATTCCTCCTGAAACCTACCAGAAAGTGATGGAAAATGTAATCAAGAGGCTCATGTTTGCGCGGCTTCTAGAGGCGGAGATTTATCTGATACTATTTTTCATACATAATTTCTAAGTTTCAATAAAAGATTAAGACGAAAAAATGGACGTATTTTATTTCATTTCACAAATATTCAAGATACAAGCCAGTCAGTTACATATCGGCCACATTGTATTATAAATAAAAACGTGTGGATGTTACTCAGCCACGTCAAAATGGCTGAACGGATCTGTATGAAATTTGGTACAGAGATGGTTTATAGTCAGTTTTTTTTATATCGAAGCAGCCGCGCAGACAGAAGCCTAAATGCCGGAACACCGCGGCTGCTATGATGATCCCAAAGAAATTTTATCAATACGATTTTTGAACTGCCCAAGGTTAATAGAACTGGGAAAAGCTTCCTCTTGTAGATTGCTCCACAATCTCGACACCCTCGCGACAAAGGAGCGGTCGTATCTGCCGGTTCTGGATGTACGAAGTCCGACACGGTTACGATGGGACGCCAAAGTCAGGCGGGTCTGTCTGGCAGGCACATCGCGCGACGGCGTCATGGAAGAGAGCTCTGAGGAGCAAAGCCCGTTGGTGTAACCCCAAACCCCAAACGTGTGAGCAATACTCGAGGCTAGGCCTTATCTGGGTCTTGCATAGAGTGAGAAGGTCATGCGGAGAAAAGTACTTCTTAGCCCTAAACAAATAGCCTAGCTTTTTCCCAGCAGCTGCAGCTATTGACGAGATGTGTTCGTGCCAGATCAGGTCCTCGGTGATCTGGACTCCGACCAGCCGAAATGAATGGCTCTTTGGTAGTACTCGACCATCCATCGAAACCGGGTGAGCGCAGGGACGTTTTTGTTCGTCAAAGTACAGTACTGCGTTTTGGAAGCTTTGAACTGTACAAGATTGTTGCGTCCCCAAGCGCTGATAGCGTCCAGGTCTCGTGTCAGAGAGGAAGTCATCGCTAGTCTTCTTTTTTCCAACTCAGCGGCCGAGATCGGCTTGTCACTCTGAATTCCTGCATGTAGAGTGCTGTCATCAGCGACGCTGTGGATTGGGTTGATCGTGCAGGAAAGGAGGTCGTTGATATGTAAGAGAGGCAGTGTCGGAGCCAAGACCGGTCCCTGGGGAACACCCGCGTTGACGTGGGATGAAGAGGAGAACCCGCAAAGCTTTTCTGGGAGGCCATAGGATGGAAGTTTGCTTAAGAGGGCAGCGTGCCACAGCTGATCGAACGTTTTCGTGATGTCATGAGCAACGATATGAGCGTCACCATAAGCCTGAATGAGTTTACTCCACAAGCTAGGAGGTCCCCTGTGGATCGTTGGTGCCGGAAACCATACTGCCTGTCGCTAATCAAGCCGTGACGTTCGAGGTAGTCCAGAAGCTCGCGATTTATGCACATTTCCATCACCTTACTTAAAACAGAAAGCAGAACTATAGGCCTGTAGTTGTAAGGGTCGGTCTTAGATCCCTTTTTTGGGATGGGTTGGACATGAGCAAATTTCCAGTGTTCTGGGAAGGTGCCGGATTCATCAGATATCTGGAAGAGACGCGAAAGAACTGGAGCAAGCTCCGGTGCACACCTCTTCAGTACAATGGCAGGAATAAGTCCGGACCAGAAGCTTTGTTGATGTCGAGCGACTAGAGCACTCGTCTTACGGTCTTATGCCTGAATGTTACCTCCCACATAGTGTAGGGAACCCTTTGAATTGACGGCACTTGTCCATGGTGGAGTTGGTAGCAAAGATCTTGGCTAGTACTTCCGCCTTGGCCTTTGAGTTGAATATAACAGTTCTATCCCGACACGTAAGTGGTGGAAGGCTACTGTGTGAGAAGTTCTTTTCAATCTGCTTGGCCAGCGTCCAGGAAAGACCGACTGCCATTGCGCTGCGACATTACCCTGTGCCTAACTTTTATATCGTGCTGGTTTTTGGCATTGCGAACCGCTGCTTTATATTTGTTTCTGGACTCAACGTCGGCTTGTCTGTTCTCTACAGTGGGGTTTTGTAAGAAGGTTCTGTGTGCCTTGATCTTCTGCTGGCGAGCAGTGTCACACGATTTGTTAAACCAGCCGTTGGACCCTGGTCTAGGCACTTTCACTGTGTGAGGGATGTATTCCTCCATCCCGACGTGGATACTTTCGGTTATCGAAGAACAGACAGCCGACGCATCCGCGTCAGTGAAACAGACATCTTTCCAAGGAAAGCTAGAGAAGAAATCTCTGAGCCCCTCCCAGTCGGCATGTCCGTAATGCCAATTTTTGTGGCCTGTACGAGTTGGGTAAGAGCGAACGCTTCCACTGCACGACCTGCTGCGTCGGTCTTGTTTGAGCCCAACCAAAGCTCATTATGGGCATTGTAATCACCGAGAAGAACTACCTCTGAAACGGGATGATTGATGTTCAGGAAGTCGATCTGGACGGCGAGGTATTCGAGTAGGTCATCCCAGTTATGGTCCGAGGGAGAGCCATAAAGGCAGCAAATAAATTTGGGTGATGTTTTGGAGTTGAGGCGAAGCCACAGACTGTCCTTCCGGTCTGATTCCAAAGAAACAGAGCAGAAAAGACTGCTGCCGACAAAAGCCACAACTCCGCCGTTCTTTCTCAGATTGGAGTGCACCTCGTAGTTTTGGGAAGTTAAGTTGGTTAATCGGTGCAGACTCTGAGATTTTTGTCATCAATGTTGCTGTTATATGTATATATTATATCACATAGCTACTCTTTATCGCATTATCTCCTGGAACATCAACGGATTCAGGGCACGGAAACCAGAAATCTAGGAGATACTAGACCAGTACCAACCAGAGGTGATTGCTATCCAAGAAACGAAATTGGATGCTGCCCATAGTCTGACGTTCCCGCGGTACGAGACGTACCGCTACGACAGAAGAGGCAGAGGTGGAGGAGTCGCATTACTCGTCAAACGTACCTTGACGAGTCATGTCCTCGACGATGCCGCAGACATCAATGGGGACGGAATCACGGTCCAGGTCCATCACAACCACCGTCCTTACAGAATCACCTCCCTATATGTGCCACCAGGGGTGGCCCTAGACGAAGATGACATCGCTGACCTCCTGAGAGGCCCAGGAGCACGCATAGTCATCGGAGATCTAAACTGCAAATCTCCGGCATGGAACAACAACGTCGAAGACAGGAATGCAAGGCAGCTCCAAGAACACGTCGATGCCCTGGCGGGGGTCATCGTCGGTC